CATGGTGGTCAACGTACTCATCAATGTCCCAGCGAGGGATTTGTCAGCAGTTTGAGAGCGCTCTTCCACAAATTTCATAAATTCTTTCACGTCCTTAGTTTTGAAAAAAAATACTTAATATTGCTTGCAATACTCATTCACATAAACATAAGACTAAGTCTGTTTGACCTTTTCCAAACTCTATAATGAGTTTTCTCTTTATTGCTACTAGCATTAGTGATAGCAGCCGATTTTTCAACTTGGAAAGTCAAATCAAAATCCAACTCACCTAAGTGAAATTGGACTTTCTCACTTCAGTCAGGGAATTTAATCTATTAAAGACTAGAACAGACGAAGTAAGCGAATGTAGAAATACATAAACAAATACTTCAATTAACACATGCCTAACATTAACGCTTTGAGTCATAAAAACTAAATATAAATACAGATTCAAACATAAATAACAATTCTATGCATACTAATGTTCTCCTTTGGGAGATCCACTAATACACAAACATAATTACGCTAATCTTTTTATAACATTAATGATAATTAAAATATGCATCAACTAGAATCACCTAACACCTTTGGATATATAAATAAAACTAGTGACGCACACAAAATTATCTACTTTCATGTTCATTAATTATAATAACAATTAATCAACCTTTGAGTGATCCTGAAATGCCTTATAATAATGAACTTCAATTAACCCATAAATCATTATTCATAATTTTAGCATTCATACTATGGGTAATTGAAATAAAATCATTAATAATTTGAAATCAAAATAACCTTAAAATTTTGGCCACTTTGGTGACTAACAAAATTTATCATGCTTAATTTCAAAAAAATAACATCTTTAATTGCTATTAACCATTCATAGCATTTTTTTATTAATTTTAATAAATATGTACATTATTCACATAATAAAATATTATATGTCATAAATAAAATTGAAACTCATAATTTCAATTTTCATCCTAAGATTGATTTTCAATCCAAGACATTTATTTGCATTTCACGTAAAAGTGATATTGTCATCCATTCAAAACTTTTATGAGTAATTTAAACATAGCTGAAACAATACAATTCAGTTTGCAAAACAAAATTCATTCATTTATCAATGTTTACATTATAGGTACATTAACAAAGTTTTATAATATATTAACAAAGCTTACAGTACCTTTAACAAAGTTTTACCGTATGAGTATATTATACAACTCACCTTAACATAAAAATAACTCTTTAATTATAATTTCACCCACATAAAAAAAATATGTACGTACAAAATAATGTACAAATAATATGGGAACAAAATAATATAGGAAAAAATGGCTTCAAGCAATACCAGATCACCAATATGTACATACAAGATAATATTATAAATAATATAATATAATATATGAAACCTGTGTGTTTAACACTGTGACCAATATGTACATACAAGATAATATTATAAATAATATAATATAATATATGAAACCTGTGTGTTTAACACGTACTCTCTACGCGCAAAGTTTATCAACTTTACAGTTTACCATTCTTCCATCATAATTATAACATTTATAAGTATAACATGCAATGAAACAAATTTCATACATGATTCACCTTTTCAATTAAAATCAATTGTAAGGTCATAACCCAATCATGTCATTTGTCTTTTCTTTTTCAATTAAAAAGGATTACGTGACCATTGATGCACAAGGTTTATCAAATTTATTTCAATTTGAAATTGATTGCAGCCTTATCCATAAATTAGGGTTTATCCATTTATTCAATTTTGAGAAAAATTAAATTTGGGAATAAATTAGGGTTCATACTAATCTGACAGAGAAATCCCTAAATTGATAATTAGGATTTATCTTAATTTGGGAAAACTTTCATACAAAGAAAATCATAAATCTAATAATCAGTGCTCTAATACCACATGTAAAATATTATGTAGTTTTCCTACGCTCTTAATTCATTATGGAAAACTACTCTACAGGATCTTTAGATTATTGATTTCACAATATAACATACATTAGTACATGAATCATAGTAAGAAGACTAACATTGATCCATGAGAATCTATTCTTTAATTTTTTCGTTCTCCCATCTCCTTTTCTCAATCTATCTCTTTGTCTTTTTTCTCTTTTCACGCTTTCTTGATGGTTTACATGAAAAAAACCTTATGACCAGAGACAGAACCCTTATTCCATTTTATCAACCAACGTTCATCAAGTTGATTACCGTAAGTTGATATTTTATTTTATCTTTATTTTATTCTAACTTCACATAATAACTAATAGATTCTTATATTTTATTAAATCATATTTAAATCTATTATTATATTTTATGACTCATCTAATGAAATGAATTAATTAAATTAATTCTAATATATTTAGTGTAATAAATGTTAATCTACATCAAGATAAAGTCCAACTGTCAACGTTTTGTATAAACTGTCACCTCATATGTTTCTTTTAAAAAAAAACTTAAACGTGTATTTTTTTACAAGTATCATTATTACTCAATAAAAAAATACAGATAATGTTTAGTCTTAATACTAAAATCACGACTTTTAATTAAATACTGAATTTTAAAGACTTTCAAAAGTTACAAGTTGAATCACATTATTATTATTATATCTCTACTAGTTGATATACTTTTTATTTGTTTACAAATTTCAATGTCTTAAAAGACATAACTTATTTTAAAACCCTAATCTTTATATAAAAATGGCAAATCTAGAAATTTAAATTTTCCCCAACCTGACAATTATATATGTCACACTTAAAAGTAATTTAAGGTGTCTTGTCTACAAATTTAATTAACCATTTGCTTAATAATAATTTTTTTCTTTATTACGATTAATATATTATTACTAATAATAACAAGTTAATAGAAATAAAATTGAAAATGTTTTATTAAAAAATTAAAACGATAAAATAAACTATTTATATATATATATATATATATATATATATAAATAATTATAAATTATAATTTAATTTAAAAAAAAATAGGAGGATATGGTCTTTGGAGGGTCTCTTTTCTACCTGGTTAAGATGAATTGAAGGAAATTATCAAATAATTAAGACAAATCATAATGAAAGAATATCTTATATTTTGACAAATAACTATAAGAAAAATTATTAAATTAAAATATTATAAATAATATGTTTCTAATATATATTAGTAAAATATTAATGACAGAACTTTTCTAAAAAGGGTGAATTGGGTTTTCAAATTTTTTTGAATTTTTAATCAATTAGTTAAAGAACTTTTCCAGATAATCAATTATGAAAGAATTATTACAGTTTATAGAAAACAAGTATACTAAGATAAAGAAAAGAAGAAAAGACACACAAATCTATATTGGTTCGATTTTTCTTAAATTTACATTTAGTTTTAACCAAACAACTTTAGCATGAAGTTTTTCACTCAATATCATATTTACAATCTAATCAAATGATCTTGATTAACAACAACCTCTAATCAAATATCACAATACTTGAAAATGTTATACCTCACAATTTTCAAGTTACCTTAATGTAACTAGTCTCACATACATCAAAATTTAATAACAAGATATGAAAGAAAGATATGAAATGAATTCACCTTGGATTTATATAATTATGCACCTACAACCAAACAACATTTCTTTAAAATTGAACTTCAAAATCTTTTGTAGAATTATGTTCTTTCCTTGATACCCAAAACGTTTTTCTAATTGCTTGTGTTTGTATTTGAAAATTGATATTGATTGAAGAAAGTTTGCATCCTTTTATAAAAAGAAAACTATTGTAACGGACACAAATAATCAATTAGCAGATTTATCTAATCGATTATTTGAGTGCAATGGTAGTTTGAAAATTGTCAAATAATCGATTATCAACGTGTTGTGTTAAAACAAGATTTTTGATAAATAATCGATTAACTAACCACATAATCAATTATTAGTACATCTTATGAAAACTGAATTTGAAGTCATATAATAAATTAACCCTAAATCTAATCGATTAGTAGCGCATTATGTGAAAACAATTTTTTTTGCAAATAATCGATTAGGTGAACCACATAATCGATTATTAGCGCATTTTATAAATACTTAATTTTAAGTGATGTAATCGATTATCCCTTTATCTAATCGATTATTGGCTCATTGTTTTAACATATTTGTTATTCAAAATTTGGCTTGTTTGATTTTATATAAACTAACTATCATAACTACTTTGACATCATAAAAACAGATTTTCTAGTTTTATTTTTGCTCTTCATCAACAATATATTTGATTAATTTACATAATTATTATATTATTAATTTGACCATCAAAGTAATTTTTTGTACAGACACTCCTTCACCTATACGAAATTAACCAAGAAGATTACACGTTATTTACATCACTCAATATAGAATAAGTGAATTTTTTTAAAATTAATTTTAGTTTAAGACGACTATAAAATAATCTAATTAAGTTTTATTTTAATATAAATAAATAAAAAGTACATAGAAAATGTTATTTAAAAAGGTTGCGATTAAAACGAGTTATCATCAAAATAAGTTTTAATGTCTACATACAGATTTTATGTAAATATCCTTTATAGTGTTTTTAATTGTCTACAATAATTCAAAAATAAATAATTAAGCTTGCAATATTTCTCTCAAAAATAAACCCCATTGATAATATTTGGAAAGCTCTTGACGGTTACATATGCATTATTATATTTTATTTATAATAATCGTATTATTAAAAATAATTAAAATTAAACTTAATCTTTTAATAACAAATTTTAAATTATAATCATTTACTATATTAAATAATATAAATGGAAAAAATAATATAAAACCAAATTTGTGTAGAAAATAATAGTACTTTCAAACGCTTGTTCCAATCAAATAACTAAATTCTTCTATTTTGTAAAGGAGAGTAAGGAAGCCATTGAAACAAATGTGAAAGATAAAAAAATGAGACAAAAACATTCAGCATTTAACAATATTTGAATATACCAGGTCTTTATAGAGAGGGGAGACATTAGTGTGGTAGAACTTGCAAGACAGAACAGACTGCTTGAACGAAAGAGAGAATAAGAAGAACAATTGCTGCAACAGTAGCAGCAGTTTGCCAAGGAGTTCTACAATAATCACGCTTGAGAGTTGACTTCAAATTATTCCAAGGATTTCTGTAAAAGTCATTCAATTCTTGCCGGAGACTTAAGAAATGGGAACTGACATTTGATTCTGTGACATTCTGCATAAGACCATTAAACAATTTAGCCACAATGTCAGAATCCCCTAGCCAATTAACCAGCACCCTCTTTCGAATCAGTACATCCACATCTTTGCTGGTGTTTACAAGGACGTCCAAAATCTTAACATAGTCTGTAATGTAGGATTCTTCTGGATAGTGACACTGCTCCAAAGCCACCATATTCCGAAACAAAAGTTCAGTCCAATCATGCACCTCCAACTGTGGGATTTCCAGATCCCCTCCTGCAAATTTAAAGTCTAGCAAGCACTTCTTTTCCGTGTTTACCTTAAACCTCACTCCTGCTTCAGACAGCTCAGTAGCGCTAGGAAAATGTTTCACAAATTCTTGAATCCTGTGTGGTTGTTCGTGTAGAGGATGTTTCAGGTTAAAAGTTCTAAGCAGATCCGTAAAGTTGCTTATGCTAATATTATCAGAATTCATGTTGGATCTATTGTAATCGTTAAAATATTCAAACGTGAGCTGAAGAAATGAAGGAAGACCCTCAGATCTAGAGAAGGACATATTGAACAGAGCGTCGAGAAGAGAAAAAGGAAGTTGGTTCTCAAGTAACAACAAATCTAATTGTATATGAGTGAACAACCATGTTTTTGTTAGACACACGTCATTTCTTAATGGTTCTCCTTCAGCGAATCTGCAGAAGAGCTCAAGTATAAAGAAGGAATCCACAAGGATGATCTTTACCAGTTCATCCTTACTCACCAAGTCAATGGTTTCTGAATAACAGCTACGAATAAAAGACAACTCCTCTTCTAAGTAGTGGATCCAGGTATCGATGGTAGTTTTGGTTCGTTGAAGAAAGGCCTTGCAATAGAGGAGTTTGTGTTTTTCCATGTTGTGCAGGCCAGGATGAGCATTGTGGTGAAAAGGGCCAACAGAAACAACCATTGGGGTGTAGGCATCTTCGTTGAGTTTGCGAATACGAAAGGGCACTCTGTAGATGCAACACTTTTCACTTACAGGTGCCTCTGCCCCCTCCAGCATCGCCCCAATATCGTGCACCTCAGCACCGTGTTTCATTATAGTAAGATTCTAAATAGCCATATACATGTAAACCTAACAAAGTTAAAATGAAATTGAAGTGTCCAGAAAGGAAAAGGCCGAGAAGAAAATGAAGAAATTATATATAATATCAGAGCTGGGAATTATGTCAGATATTACTTTACCTGATTCCTTTGTTTGGATTAAACTTGATGTGTTGTAGTGGAAGTTCTTTCACTTACTTCTTGCTTTCTGCTATGTCAACTCTTGTATCTGCAAGGGAAGTTCTATCAAATCTTTATTTGTTCAGTTACTTCTTTAGATTTGTCTCTTTTAATGTATGGAAATATTTTGTTTTTAGACATTTAAACGATATTTGTAATGTGTTTGAAATAATGTAATGAGCAAGCATGGAATAATTTGAGTACGGAACTATGCAGAATTACATGATTCCTTTCTTTCTATTAATTAAAGTCTTTGTGACCAAAGTTCTTGCTCTTGCGTGACGCGTTTCCTGTGAGAATCAGAAATATGTGGCGTATATACTTTTTCTTTGGTCGAAGTTTTCCAAGAGCATGCAGATAAAATTTGAGAGGATTAAACTTCAAGAATTACCGTTTAATACAACACAATAATTTTGGAATGGGAAGAAATTGTTAATAAAAAATATTTGAAATCGTTAACTTTTTCTTATGATTTTATGATTTTTAAAGAAATGTAGATCATTTTAAGAATCTAAAAAATAATAATAATGATTATGTGTTAGCTACGAATAACTTCTTCATTAATTAGTACCTTTTCATAGATTAGAGACCAATAAATTTTATTGTTAATTAATATTTTTTAATAAATTAAAGAAGAATAATTTCATTGTTAATTAGTAGTTTCCAAGATATTAGTTACAAAACAAGTTCTGTAGCTAATTAGTATTTTATCTTAGTAATTAATTTATAGTATATTATCATATTATAAAAATAATATTAACATGTAAGAATTATATCAATAACTAATATACTAATTAGAGATGAAAAAATTTGGTTGTTAAAAGTCTTTCCCAATATATATTAACATTGTCATTGATCAGTATTTTTCGATTAGAAAAAAATAATTGTGTTATTAATTAGTATTTTTTTAAAGAATTACCTACGAATAAATTTTTTTGCTGATTATTATTTTTAAAATAAATTATTGATAAATAAATTTCGTAGTTAATTAATATTTAATAATATATTAAATATAAATAATTTTTTGTTAATCAATAATTTTTAAATGATTAATTACAAAAACAATTCTTGGTAATTAAGAAGAGAAGAAGAATTAGTAAAAAATTATTTAGAATTTAAAGACCAGAAAAAAGAAGAAAAATATTATAAAAATATTAAGGAAAAATTAGTATTTTCAAAAAATAAACTTAGTCACAAATTAGTATTATGTAATTAGTGATGAAAAATGTGGTTTTTTAGTATTTTTAAATAAAAAATACTTTTCAAAGGATTAGAGACAAATATTATTTGTCACTAATTTTTATTGATTATTAAAAAAAGGAAAAAAAGAAATGACAAAAATATATATAAAAAAATTATATCAAAATTTAAGGATGAAGAAGAAACACCGGTTAAGATCAACGACGAATAATTTTATAGTTTATTAGTATTTTCTTAACGAATTAGTGAAAAATAATTTGGTTTATAATTAATATTTATAAATAAATTAGAGACGAATATTTATCAATATATGTCGTTAAGTAGTAGTTACTAAAGTATTAGATCAAACATTTTTGTTTAATTAGAGAAGAACAATTTTGCCGTTATTTAAATATATTTTTAATGCATTAACAATTAACAATTAATATTTTCATCACTAACAATTTTTTTTCCACAAGATTAGTCACAAACAAAATTTGAAACTAGTAATATTTCAAAACATGAAAGACTAACAAATTCACTAATAAATAATTTAGTTGCTAATTACTATTTTTCAAAACATGAAAGACTAACAAATTCCATATCTAATTAGAGACGAACAAATTGCTTCACTAATAAGTATTTTTCAAATAAATTAGAAATAAAGAATGGCGTAGTTAATTAATATTTTTTAGCATATTAAAGATGAATAATTTTACTGTTAATTAATATTTTTTTAATGTATTAGGAACAAGTAATATTCGTCATTAATTAGAATTTCCAAAGAATATGTACCTCATATCTGTTCTCAGGTGAGAGTTTGAAATAAACATGTAAGTTTGTTCATGATACAGAAACGTAGAAATATACTTCACTAGTCTGACTAAGAATAGAAGTAGAATAGCTATGCATGCATATATTATATCTTCATCTCAAAACACTGGAGCTGAATTAGAATTAGCTACACTAAATCACAGTTTGCACCAAAGACTTGTAAAACAGCACTGAACCTTACGCATAGCCATCATCATTATAAGTTGATCTGTTACAACATCTAGATAAGAAAGTCATCCAGCATTTTAAGAGAAAAAGAAGCATTTAATAATTATTGAAATTGAGAAGTTTTGGGAGGCATATTCTATGACTGCGGCATTACTTGCATGATAGAACAAACTGTTTGAACCAGAGAGAGAATAAGGAGCACAATTCCAGCAATGGAAACGGCAGTTTGCCAAGGAGTGTTAAAATAATCCCGCCTCAGAGTGGAGTTCAATTTATGCAAAGGGTTTCTACAAAAAGCATTCAAGTCATTGCAGATATAAAAATAATGGGAACTAAAATTTACATGCGTGATGTTTTTCCAAAGACCATTAAACATATGAGCGACAGAACCACTATCCCCCAACCAGTTCACCAGCACTCTCTTTCGAACAAGTAAATCCACATCTCTGCTGGTGTTTACAAGGAAGTCCAATATAGCAACATAATCTGTAAAATAGGACTGTGCAGGATAGTGACACTGCTCCAAAGCCACCATATTGCGAAACAAACATTCAGTCCAATCTTCCACTTTCAACTGCGGGATTTCAAGAACCCGTCCTGAAAATCTCAAGTCTAGTAAGGAGTTACTTTGGGCGTTTACCTTAAACTTCACACCTGCCTCTGACAACTCAGTAGCACTGGGAAGATGCATTGTTGATTCATCACTCTCCCTTCGCATATGCAAAGGGTATGGCAAGTGAAATATTCTTATGAGATCCGTGAAGTGCTTAATGCTAATATTTTGAGATTTCAAGTTGGATTTATTGTAGTAGATAAAATAGTCAAAAGTAAAGTCAAGAAAAGAAGGGATCTTCTTGTTAGCAGCAGCGTCAGGCCCAGAGGCGTAGGAGAGATTGAAGAGGTTTTCAAGAACAAAAAAGGGAAGTTGGTTCTCAAGTAACAACAGATCTATTCTTATACTAGTAGTCAACCAAGGTTTCAAGAGAAAGGTGTCATTCTTCCCTGACCATTCATCATAATAGGTACGCCAAAAAAGCTCAAATATAAAACCACAATCCAAAAAGATGATCCTCACCAGTTCCTCCTTGGTGAACTCAAGGGCTTCTGAATAACAGCAACGAACTTTGGGCTCCACCCCTTCTATGTAGCGGATCCAGCTGACCAAACTTGTGTGGCTTCGTTCAAGAAAAGCCTTGCAATAAATGAGCTTGTATCTTTCCATGTTTTGGAGGCGAGGGCGATTGTGGTGAAAAGGGCCAATAGAAACAACCTTTGGGGTGTAGGCATCTTCGTTGAGCTTGCGGATATCAATGGGTACTTGGTAGATGCAACACTCGTCGGTTACCGGTGCTTTTGCCCCCTCCAGCATCGCTCTAATTCCGTTCACAGCATCATCCTCATCCATCATTCCTCTAATAATGTTAACTGCAAAAGTAATCCAGATAACAAAATGAAGAAATAGATTGCTATGAATTTATAATCAGAGCGGGCATTCTAGCAACTATTACCCGGTTCCTTTGTCCTTTGATTGAATTTCCAAGTCCCTGCGCCGAAAGTTCCTCCTCTCAGATTTTCTCCAAGGAAGCGTATATGTCTTTTTTATGGCAGATATGGATTTTTAATTATTTTTAATTTTTAATTTTCTTAGTCACCAAATTTCACTGTTTTGAATTTTCACCATTTTGTTTTTTTTTTTAAATTAATAATAGATTGTAATATAATGAAAAACTTATTTAATAGATTAAAAAACAAAATATTTATAAATTACTCTTGCCCTAATTTCTGTTAAATGACGTAGAATTTTTTTATGTATGCAAACCGTAGATGAAAATAGGAAGGGTGAGAAGGAAAATTAAATTTTGACAGCAGATCTTCCGAGTATGAGAAAGAAAGAAAAGAGTGAAAATATAGATTTTATTATTATTATTATTATTAAAGTGTTTTTTAATTTTATTTTTGTATATTATCGTTGAAAAAATTGGACTATGCGGCACTAGCAGAAGACGGGCGTGTAAAGTAGGTAAGCATTAGGGTGACTTTTTTATTATTATAGAGAAATCTTACATTGAGAACTAAATCATCCAAACCATTCATCATAACTCTTTTTATTAATTTTATAATAAAGTGTTGTTCCTTCGATGTTTAGATGAAGAGAAAGACGAGGAGAGTAGTGGGTGTGTGGAATGTTGGTAAGTTCCAACTCTCTTTTGATAAGGATTCCATGAATACAAAAAAAAAAAACACCCGTGGTTGATAGTGTCATGACATGAGTGAAGGCGTATGTAACAAGTCCTGCGTTGGGAGCTCTCCTTATTCAAGAGGTATTATAAGATAGGAGATTCTCTAACCTCTTAAGCTAGTTTTTGAGGGATGATTTCCCTCTTAGTCTTATGGTTATTATATTGGTATTTTTATTGAGAGTCAGTCAACTCGAGAAGGACTACCTACGGAGGGTTCTGACGGCCGGAGGGTTCTGACTATCGGAGGGTTCTGATTGGTAAGAAGGCCGAGTAAAGTGTCGTGGAATACAATCATCGAGAACGCTGGCTTTCGAACGGGATGGTATTGTAACAAGTCCTGAATTGGGGAGGTTTCCTTACCAGAGATACCTTATAAGATAGAAGGTTCTCCAACCTCTTGAGCTAGCTTTTAAGGAATGATTCCTCTTATCCTTATGATTGTTACAGCTTAATAGTTTGACGCACCTAAAATTTTCACCATTCATGGACGAGAGTAGAAAGTCCAGGAAATAAGGGTAAACCTTCCCACGCGGAATCCCTTAAGTTCTTTGATGTTTCTCACCTTTCAAAAGAGGAAGTTTCTCTTTTTATGTACATTTCTCTTCCTTCCTTTGTTACTTCGTAACAATTACGCCACCAATGAAATAGGAGATTAATTATATTATTTTTACAGAATGTTGTAAAAAGAAAGAAATAACTCACATTGCAGACAAATTTTCTGTTCCCACATTCTATTCACCCAAATACAGTTGCTGACATTTGTTCTCTACCATCAATGCATAGCAAACATACATTGTTAGAAGGTGACACAATATTGACTGCTAATTGGCTCAAAGTTTTTGATAAGTCATACCAGGATTTAAACCTATCAGCATTTAGTGCAGGGTAGAAATGAGCTCAGATGTTCTTTTAATCCCAAAGTAATCATAAAATTTGGAAATAATCTCTAACATTTATCCCAACATAATCTTACTTGTGTTTATTGTGGCCATGCTAAGTTGTCTTTTGGTGTCTTGCCACTCCCCTCTGAACACTTTTCAGAAGATCAGTGAGTATGTAGTGGAAAGTTGGGTCTTTTGAAATCATATATCTTGTTTGTGTCTTGCACGTATGTTTCAATATAGTTAATATATGGTAGAAAGATGGACTTTGCAAGTGTACTAATCTTACCATCCACCAAAATATTGATACCAACTTAATTCATTATTTCAGATAATAAATTAAAACAAAAGGAAAGATTTTTTTTTTAAAATGAAAAGAGAAGAAGACGACCATTGTAGGTTTATTTCACACACAATATTTTTACTTCTATTTTTATATTAAAAATAATATAATTCAACTTTAAACTCTCATAAGTTTATATCTAATAATCAATAATATACCACAATAATATATATATATATATATATATATATATATATATATATATATAAAAGTTCTCCATAGTAGGCAAATTTTTATACGTGCTAGTAGGATTTATAAAAAAGTAATAATATTTTATTTTAATAACTGTTGTTAATTATCTTTTATTATTTTTTATTATTGACTTGAACAAGTATTTTTAAATATATTTTTTCACTAACAATTATTCAAATTCGAGAACTTGTTAAAATAAAGAGTACTTTTATTAAGAATTTCACAAGCAAAACTTCCTCCAACGGATAACTTTACATACGTTAAGTCTGTCTTTTAGTAATTTTTAAACAATATTTTGAGCAATTGTTGGCTCCACATACTAAATTGTTGCATATTTTCTAAGCTTCAAAACTTGGATCAAAGGAAGATGGCATTGGCAACATGCCATTAACAAACTTATATTTGCTCTTAGAAATGAGGGATCTCTTCATAGCTCTAGCTCAGTTATGGTAATTTTTTTCAAACAACAATGTTGTAACTAGGACGAGAGAAGGGTTTTCTCCAGGATGAATATAATACTCACTCAATAGGTTTAAAGCAGGGTCTTGTGTGGAGGAAGAGGTGTAGGATTTCCACCTCCACTGCTTGAATTTCCTTTTCCCATGGAAGAAGAAAACCAGAGCTCTTGAGATCAAGAGCTCTGATACCATAACAGGTTTTGAACCATTTGAAAGATAATAGAGGTAAAAAGTGTTTTTCATGTAAGGTCTATTTTTTGAAAATTAATATTATATATCAAGTCATGCATTCCTTCACTTATATACACAGATATGTGAATGGAAGGAAGAGAAAAAGACAAAAAAATGGAATCAATCAAAATAGAAAAAGGAATATTTATAAAATCCTAACAGAAAGATTAAGGCTAGGCAAATGCAATGGAAAACACGAGCGTATAGGTGTACAACTGTTCAACGTGGGACTTGAGGTGCCCATTGCAAGTTTGTGGATTTTACGGTATGAGACTTAACGTGTGCAGAGTCATTAGTTGGAGAAAGCTTTGCTTGTAGAATTCTTAATACCCCCTCGCAAGCTGGAGAGAAGATATTGTGCACTCCAAGCTTGGATAAAAAAGTAGTGAAATACTTTGGAAGTAGGGCCTTGGTGAAAAAGTCAGCTATTTGGGCATAAGATGAAATGGGCAATAGATGCATTTGGCCTGATTGTAGTTTCTCTCTAAATGACAGTCAATCTCCAAATGTTTGGTTCTCTCATCGAAAACAGAATTCTGTGCAATGTGTATGGCACTTTGGTTGTCACAAAATATCACATGGGACTTGGTTGGATGGATGTGAAGATCTTGAAGCAGGTAGTGTATCCATTGCAATTCACAAGTTGCAGTAGCAAGAGCCCTATACTCAGCTTCTGCAGAGGAACGAGCTACAGTGAGTTGTTTCTTTGACTTCCAACTCACCAGGGAAGGACCAATAAAAAAACAATAACCAGATATGGACTTTCGAGTATCTGGGCATCTTCCCCAATCAGCATCAACAAACCCACGAAGTTGCAGGTCACTGTTTCTAGGAAAGAACAATCCTAATCCTGGTGCATTCTTTAAGTAGCGAAGTATTCTAACTAGTGATGTGCATAAGTTGGAGAATTAAGGTACTGACTAACTTGCTGAGCAACAAAGGTGATATCTGGTATGCAGTAACATCTGGAAATGACAATCCCTTGTCTTGTTGTAAAACCATCGTTGGATCCAAAGGAGTCGAGACAGGTTTACAGTTGGTTAAAGATGTGTCCTCCAAAAGCTCAAGACAATACCTCCTTTGTGAGATGGAAATTCCCTGTGAAGAGTGTGTTATTTCCAATCCCAAAAAGTATCTTAAAATACCAAAATCTTTGATGTCAAATACTTTATGCAATTGTTGCTTGATTGAAGCAAATTCATGTACAGAAGTCCCAAATAATAGGATGTCATCCACATACACTAATAGGCCAGTAAACCTAGAATCAAAGAATCTAAGAGCTTTAAACCATAAAGTGATTTAGTTAGTTTGCAAACCTTATTTGGATGAGAAATTGTCATACCTTGTGGAGGAGCCATGTACACATCCTCCTTCAAATCACCATGTAGAAAAGCATTATTGACATCCAATTGATGTAGATGTCAATTGTGAACTGCAATAAGAGTTATAATGATTCTAATTGTGGTTAGTTATGCCACAAGTGAAAAAGTGTCTAGGTAATCAAGTCCTTCAACTTGATTGTATCCTTTGACAACTAATCTTGTCTTTTACCTTTCAATGGTTCCATCTGATTTCCTCTTGATCTTGTAGACCCATTTGCAGCCAATGGGAGTAACTCCAGGTGGAAGATCTACAAGACTCCAAGTGTCATTGTGCTCAAGAGCTTGGATTTCAGCCTCCATGGCTTTTCTCCAACAATCCTGTTTACTAGCTTCAAGGAATGTCTTAGGCTCCTTTTGATAAGTGATACTCATACATAATGCAGCATAACAAGGAGATAGATTAGATAGGGAGTAAAAGGATGAGAAGGGATAAGGACTACCTTAATTGGCCAGCTGGGATGAGAGGACTAAGTTGCATTGGAAATCTTGCAAGTATATAGGTTTTTGTTTGATCCTGTGTGATTTTCTTATTGTTTGTGGTAGATTCGATTCATGGCTATGAGAACATAGAGAGGTTGGTGTTGATTCAGTGCTGGCTGGCAGTAGTTCTTGTTCAGTATGAGGAGAGGATGTGTGCAGTGTAGGTGAATTTGGTTGACTAATGATGACAGGTTGGTGAAGTGTAGGGAAATCTGATTGACTAATGATGGCAGGTTGGTGGTGTCTTTGGTCAGAAATTGTAGTTGGCATATCAGTTTGAAAAGGAAAAATGTACTCCTCAAAAATAACATTTCTGGAAACATGCAATGTCTTTGTACTTAGTTCATATAATAAAAATCCTTTTGTGTCAGGCTTGTACCCCACAAAAACACATTTCTTTGCTCTTGGATCAAGCTTTCCTCTATGTGAAGTAATTGTGGATGAATAGCAAAGACAACCAAAGACTCTTAAAAGATTTAAATCTGGTTTTTGATTAAATAAAACTTCATAAGGTGACTTAGAGTCAATAATGGGAGATGGTAACCTATTCAATAAATGCACAACATGTACAACAGCTAGGCCCCAAAAAAACTTTGGTAAATTCCCTTGAAACAAAAGGGCTCTAGCAATGTTGAGAAGAATTTGATGCTTTCTCTTAACTCTAACATTCTGTTAAGGTGTCTCAACACAACTTGTTTGGTGAAGAATTCCATAATCATTGTAAAAGGATTTCATCAAAATTCAGTCCCATTATCTGACCTAATGATTTTAATTTTCCTTTCAAATTGAGTTTCAATCATTTTGGTGAAATTTCTCAAGTGATTTTCTGTTTCTGACTTATGTTTCATCAAAATTAGCTAAGTGTACCTACTGTAGTTATCCACAATTGTAAGAAAGAACTTTTGTTTATGAATTGTATGAACACTATAAGGTCCCCATACATCCATATGAATGAGATCAAAAGGCTTAGTTGCCCTGCTGTTACTATCACTATAAAGTAATCCTTTTTGCTTTGCAAAGTGACAAGTGTCACAAACCAAATTTTTATTATATGTATGTAAAAAAGGGTACAAATCACAAAGCATATTCATTCGTGAATTAGAGACATGTCCCAATCTGAAATGCCACAAGGCAGTTTCTAGAAAAAAATATTTGGTTAAGGTTGCATTTACTACGGCTGATTGTGATGTATATGATTGTGAGAGATGATGGTAAGGTAGACAATATAACCCATCATTTATTTTAGCTGAACTAATCATCTTCAAGGTGTTCAAGTCTTGTATGAGACATGAGTCAGGAAAAAAAAAAGAAACCAAAGTTAAGTTGTGAACTTAGTTTTGAAATTGAAATAAGATTCAAAGTGAACCCCGACAGAAAAAGGACATCAGTTAAAATAAGATTTTGATCAATAGTGATGGTTCCTTTGTGTGTTGTTGTGGATTTATGTCCATTTGGAAGATTTACTATGATAGGGTCATGGTTTATTGGCTTTAAACAACTAAATAATTTTTTATTTGAACAAATATGGTCAGTTGCACCTGAGTCAAGTATCTAAGTGTCAAACAAGGTATGAATGTTGCATGTTATATGATTACCTAATTGTGTTTGTTGTTTTGTAGTAACAGCTACCTGATTATTCCTTGAGGGACTAGCAACATTGGAAGATTGGAGCAGAGTCATGATTGCCTTAAACTGCTCATCAGACAATGAGACTTGTGAGAAGGCTTGAGAAGTTGTGTCAGTGTTCCCTTTGTATTATATTCATCCTGGAGAAAACCCCTCTCTCATCCTAACTACATCATTGTTGTCCGAAAGAAATTATCATAGTTGGGCTAGAGTTATGAAGAGATCCCTCATTTCTAAGAACAAATATATGTTTGTCAATGATATGTTGCCAATGTCATCTTTCTTTGATCCAAGTTTTGAAGCTTGGGAAAGATGCAACAATTTAGTACCATCCTGGATCTTCAATTCTGTGGAGCCAACAATTACTCAAAGTATTGTCTACTTGGAGGTCACAACAGTAGTATGGAAATTGTTAAAAGACAGACTCAATGTGTGCAAAGTCATCAGTGGGAGGAAGTTTTACTTGTAGAATTATTAATAACTTTTAAATATATCTCTTCACTGATAATTATTCGAACTCAAAAATTTGTTATTTTAAGATAATTCGGATGAGATTCTAGAAAATATTAAAACTTATTATTTTAAGATAATTGGGATGAGATTCGGAAAAATATTAAATACTCCGAATAAACTCATAATTTATAAGAAATATTATAAGAAATATTAATTTTTGGCATATATATATATATATATATATATATATATATATATATATATATATATATAAAAGCGCGTGTGGGGAAAGTAATTAACCTGTGGATGGAAGTCTACTTCCTCTATAGATTAAACATACCGTAACAGAATAAAACGTAAGTGGCACACTAATATTTAACTTTCATGATGTGCGTTAAAAAATGTAAATTCTAATTTAAAATATATAAATCCTATTATGTCTGTGTTACACATACACAAGTAATCCTCGGGTTCACAATTCCACTTACCAGAATTTACTTCAGAACTTACTAGAGACAGAATAAAAAAATAATTTTATAATTAGACTAAACAAATAATTTTTTAAAGAATCATAATTTTTAATAAAATTTTAAAAGATTTTTTTTTCAGGTACCGTAACCCACCACTTACCGTCTCACAAGTAGCAGGAGTAACAAGATTGATGAATCGTGGCTCAAGAAACCAATTATTATTTATTAGTTTCTGTGGAAATATTCTCTCAATAGTGGTCGAGAAATTTTCCAAACTCCGATGACTTCAAGTTCTTCGTTCTTGGAACAAGTTAATGCGTATTCCCTTACAGAAAAAGCGAGTACAAAACTACATAATTAGTTTCCTATTGCTGATATGTTTATACATCTATTTTATCGTTTTATCATAAAACAACAAAATATGTACTGGAAACAGGAGGATGACAACTTGATGTAATGTCCTGGAGAATATTCGGTACTATTTGTTATGATATTGCACACACAAAAGAAATCCATGTGCCTTACAAAATTTTAATATTTGTTTTTTTTTTTTTTTTTTTTACTTTTATACCACCCTTATCATCTATCTATCTCTACATATACATCTGCTATGGAAGATGAAATGCAATCTTCAAGCTACAGTTCCCTATTGGTGTTGGTTTCTATTTGAGTATACTTGATTCAGAGATGATCTTCGAGTAAGGAACATATCTTTCTTCCAATCTTGAATTTAAATTACCAATTGTATATGTTTTTCACTTGAAAAATCTGATATTTCTTGGTAAATTTTAAATATCATAAAACTCCTGTATGTCATAATTCGTGATCTTCATCAGATAAAAAATAAAAAAATAAAAACAACTGTGTTTTACTATGTGAGATTATATGAATTTTATGTACAGACACATTTTCAATGGGAACAAACACGAAACATTTGGTGGGGGTGGCTTCAAAATTACCAGATTGTGATCGTTCCTTTTATGCCTTCCTATTTCAGTTATTGTGGCTGTTCATTTTATGCCTTCCTACTTTAGTCATTGTGGTTGTTCATGTTCACGCCTCTGGTTTGCAACAATATGTATCGCTTTCATTTGCAAACAGAAACATGAAATGGAATTACCAAAATGCTGATATTTGTTGTAGTTATTTCTGGGCATGACAAAGTTTGCAGCAAGGAATTGAATTTCTGGCATCACGAGATCAAACTAATCTTTGGGAGAATTCTGTTATCTTTTTTTCAAAACTACTACTACAATTCTCTAAGACATCTATTACTACGTCCACTCGTTTACCTACGGCAACAAACTATTCACAAAAAAGACACTACAGATTCATATCATTAATTATTTATTCTAATATAACAACCACTTGAATCAGTTTATTGATATCTATATTTATAAATAAGTTGCTAAGCCCCTCTCCCATCTACGAATCAACTAATCTCAATCAATTAAAGTGTTACAGTAAAATTTGTAATATTCTGGAAAAACTGAACTAGATGTTCCAAAATGAATTTGGGTTGAAAGCGTGCAATTTAAACTTGTCAACATGAGAATCACCTATTTTAGCTTAGACTTGGATGAGCTCTGAAGTGGTCTAGCAGAGGACCTAACAGGGGCTGACCTAACAGCCTTCTTCACATCATACTTCACGGACGAGAAAGCACATATCACAGCGATCACCATTGTTGGGTAGACGTACACAGCTTTTGAAGGATCAGAATTTACAGGTTTTCCTAAAATCCCTTCTTTGACCAGTCCCCAAATTATAAGAAGGTTCCCAAACATGCTCATTCTTCCGGGTTTCAGAACACCCAAAAGTGCTCCTGCCACTGAAAAGTAGCTTCCTGCAAGAACCTGGAAAACAATTGATGTATACTTATTTGAAAAGTATCAATAGAAGCAAATTGCAAACAGAAACCTAATGGACAATGGAATTGTGAGATATAAATCAACTAATTCAAAATCCACATAGCAGATGAAGGTATATAAAATTGCAAATAGACAAGAGTCACAAGGAACAATTATGGAGCACATTCAATGTGACTTTTAGGACCTCGAAGTATCAAAACAAATTGATAAAACGGAACTATGAGCTACAATGAAATTAATTGATAAATTCACAAGGCAGATGAAGGTATAACAAATAGCAAATAGACAAGAATAGCAAGAATAACAATGGCACACAATTCTAAGTGACTTTTAGTAATCAATGCTTCTTTAATTGATCAATAAAGTATTCTCATTACCCAGTTTTTTTTCTTCATTGAATTGAAAGTAAAGTTTGAAATCTAATAATAAACTTTTATTTAGCTATTCAACTTACCAAAGACATCAGAAATTTCGAAAGTAAATAGTACACCAAAAACCCTTGACAAGAGTAAGGCATTAGGAAAGATGGTCACAACTGACAAGTACTAACAACTCCAGACAATAAGAAAGTAGGTTCAATTTAACTTTTAAGCCAAAACAAGCGACCTCAACAATCAAAAGAAAAAAGGTGCAGGGTGATTAAATTGCCTAACCTCCAATCGCTGAAGATCAGTTACTGCAGAAGCTTCCTTCACACTGGTCAAATTATACAAGTCCAACAAACTATCCCAACTTGGAACAGTCATGTTGTGCAGGAGGCCGTTCACTGCAGCCCCTGGGTACAAGAGGCCCTTCACAACAACAACAGGAAAGATCTCACTTGCAATTAACTGCGACGACGTCACATGCAAAGGGTTTGTACACATGCCAGATCTGCAACTCACCCTGTAAATGTAACCAAAAGGACAAATTTCAAACAAGCTCAATGCCACAATCTATAGTATAGTTTTACTCACTGAGTTTAATTTTCCACATATTATGAGTGTAAAGTTACTCTATCAATCAATTAGAAATGACTCTCTCTATCACTATTAAAGTAATTACATGGTGATACTTGATTAGATGATAAGGTAAAAAACTCTGCATTACTAGTACATCTATACTTAAGGGATACTAATATCGATAATTACTTAGTGTACACATTTTTTGTTAAAATTTTATCTTTACTGTTTTGGTAACCGTTATTTTAAGGTGATAACTGTACTTTATTATCTCACAAAATTCCACCATTCCTAAGTAAGATATCTAACTGTCATATAACAATATGGGTATGTTTGGTCAAGCTTCCCCCATAAACTTATTGTACGAGAGAAAATGAGAAGAAAATTGAAATTAGTTTCTCCCCGAGCTAAAATGAACTAATAGAAGGTAATTAGTACAGGTTCTATAATTCTCTGAGTCATGTCAACTTATGTGTACAAGTTAATTGTAACTTACAAAGAAGTAAAATTCAAATTTTTTTTTTCTGTAAGGACTTGTGACAAACAGGTAGTATAAATAACAACATGATTAGATCGCAGAAGAAAATAAGTAAAACTAGTAGCAAGTAAGAAGATAATCAAAGTCAACCATCAAATGATTAATTGTTTTTAGAGTTTATATTGACCTTTTTCAGTACAAGGTAGTTAATATAAAGGAAAGTGTCAATCAGATATTGATTTCTCTCCAATCGACACAAACGTTTCCTTTTTTTTTTTTTTTTCTCCTTACTTATTTCCCCATTTTTTTCTTGTGATGATCGTAGGCACAATTCAACAGCTGGATGAAGATGATTTCGAAAGTAATAAAAAGATTAGCATTAATTGGGAAGTGGAGATGGGGAGTACCTGAAAAGAGGGATCTGAAAGATGATGAGAAGGAACAAGATGCGAGCTGCTATTGAGGAAACGTTGTCGGTCCATTTCGGCGATGCGGAGGGAGTTGCCATGGAGAGGGAGAGGAGGATCTGACGCTTCTTGACTCAGTATAACCTCTTCCCTGTGACAGCTAATTGTAACAGGGTATCCGTTTGTTATCTTCCCCTACTTTATGTTTTCTACTTCATATTTTTTATTGTTTTCTCTTTTCTGCAAAAAATAAAATCATCAATTCAATTATTTAAATCTAATTAGAAATACACCTGTTAAAAACTACCTTTAAAAAAAACATAAAATATTAAACTATTATATATATATATTTTTTTTTAACTCTTTAATTTATTAAAAGAAATATTCGTTTTATAAATATTTATAAAAAAATTATTTGATCAAATTGGGTATGTGAATGTTTCTACTTTAAAAGAAATTAATTCTTCAAAATGAAACTCGTCCCTGATAAATATCGAAGCCCTCACTTTCTCTTTCCCACCCAGTGGATAAACCCAGAAGAAGAGGAAGATGGCTGCGGCTTTTCACTATTTATCGTGTACTCGGACTGACCCTTTCCTCACACCAGCTCAATCCCTCACTCTTCCTTTCCAACGCAAACCATTTTTTTGCTCTCTTCTTCCTGTTTCCTCTCGCGCTCGTAACCTCTCTTCTTCAATCGTCGTCGCTTCTTCCAAAAAAAAGAAAAACAAGGTCATTTCAATATCACGATATCTTTTCTGCCCCCATATGCGAAATTAACAAAAAATTTGGATGTACTCGCTGAAGTGTTTTTCGTCTTTTTAATTTCTCGATGAATATATCTCCCTATTTTCTAGTTTGTAGATTTCTCCGTGCTAACATTTTTTTAATTCTCACTTTGACTTAATTTTATTGCTTTATCTTTTGCAGAAAAAACTGTCTCGTGATCATGTTACTGAGGGCGGCGAGGAGGATGTCGACGCGTTTGAGCTTCTCTTCAAGCAACTCGAAGAAGATCTCAAAAGCGGTGATTTGTCAGATGATGATGGCGAAGATGAAATAAGTGAAGAAGAGATGGCATTGCTTGAACGTGAGTTGGAAAATGCCCTGGGGGACTTTGATACTGAATTGTTGAATTCGGATGTAATCGACATAGAAATTGGTAGTGATCCAGAGAATGAGGATGAGGATGAGGATGGTGAGGATGATGGTGGTGAGGATGGTGGTGAAGATGGAGATGAAAAGTCACTGAACCTTAAGAATTGGCAGATGAAGAAATTGGCTAGAGCTTTGAAAGCTGGCCGCCGCAAAACAAGTGTAAGTGTGTTGTTCACACTATCTTAAGAAATTAACTTGTTTCAAGTTGACTATTCTGAATGTATAATTGATAAGTATATTTCTTTAGGGACCATAACCAAGGATATATAGGATTGTTTTGGTTACCCTTGGCAGAGTTTAAGTGTTCTGATTTGTTCTCTACTTTAAGTGCTTATATGATTTTTCATTTGTGTTTGATAAATCACAATCAGACTGGGAAAATGTCAATTATTTATTAAGACTTGTATTCCAACATGGTCGCTAATATGGTGCATCTTCTGATTTTACAGCCTCTATTTGGTGTGGTAAAGCTAACAATAGCTTGATTGACTGTAAAAGACCAGCCGTGTCTGGTTGCTTGCTCCTTGAATGACCTGGAGTTTTTATTAAATGCAGTTCATTCTAATTATTGCGGATGATCTTAATTTAATTTGCAAATCCCTCTTAACTTCAACTTGATTTTTTTTTTCTTTTTCATTGAAATATTGAGACTAAAATAGTGGGTTGAATTTTGCTTGGAAGATGGCAAATTTGATGGTAGTCTATTTGTCCATATGATTAAGTCATTGGGAAATGGGAGAAAATCAGTAAATCATGGACTGTATTTAAGGATTATTTTGCCATGGATAAATTTAATAATGGGAAAATACCTTATGTTTTAATGGTGTTTTCCTACAAATTTTGGTTCACATGACTGCAAAGAATATTTTGTAAACCCAATTTGCAAGAACGAGGAGAAGGAAGGAAAAGAGAAATTTTCATTTTCATGCCTAAAAAACTACTTGTCGGAAAGACAAGGTATAAGTGAATAATGGGTTTAATGGATCAGTCGAAACTGGATTAGACTAGATCAATAAAATAAGAGTATATTATGTTGGGTTGAACCAATTGAAAAGCTTATTCCCAAAAATTTTAGATAAGATAATTGTTTTTGTTTTCTCCTCGTCTTAAGGATTAAGCGAACATGAGTGAATTCATTTTATTGTCGTGCCCAACTTCAGGATTCCATTCCTCAAATTCACTTTTTGACTTGTTGCAGATAAAAAATCTTGCTGCCGATCTTTGTCTTGACAGGGCTCTTGTTCTTCAATTACTTCGTGACCCTCCTCCAAATCTTTTAATGATGAGTCTAACTGTACCTGATGAACCCACAACAACAGTAGTATCACTTGAAACTAAGCCCAGCGAGATTCTCCTTAAAGAAACAAGTATTGATGACGCTGAATCTGAATCAGAACCCAAAGCTCAAGTACCTGTTCATACCTTGCAACGTAATTGGTATGCTCAAAAGCGATTGAAAAAGGCCCATGTTTACACTCTGGAGAGAGTTTATAGGAGATCAAAACGACCTACTGTAAGTAATTTTTATCATGCTTCAACATTACAAGTTTTGTGACAGAAGATGATCCATCTAATTTTTCTGATTTATTTTACCTCAATTTTCTCTTTCACTAGCAATTATTCCCTCTTGAATCAAAAGTTTTAAGGGTGAAACTTTAAAAATGCATGCTTGCACTAGTATTGAGGTTTTAAGCAAAACAGTTAGTTAGACTGTATAAACTCAATACCTTTGTGTTTCAAGATTCTGTGTCATACTTTTTTTTGGAAAATTACGTGACATGTACCTTCACTGCTAAAATGATAGTCAATCATATGGTTCTAATTCTCAGAGCTCAAGGAAAAATGTTCTATCCATGTTAATATCTGAGATAGAGACTTCATTCCCTCCCACACGTATTGAAAGTCATTAAACATTACATATGCACGATTTCACCTGTTACCTTTATGCCCCAAATAAAGTGAAACAAGGGACCTGACCAAAAAAAAAAAAACTGCCAAATCAAACTGCTTTGTTCCCCAAATTTTCATTTCAACGTACTAATGTGACATATTGCATTTGGTAATGGCAAAATAAGTCACGCTAGTTATTAAAAGGATAACATGTATGTCCTTAGGTGGTTGTTTTGGTCTTGTTCTCTAATCAAAATTAATTGTTATCTGGTAATTTGTGTAATAGTATAAAAGTTTGCATTAAAGTTCAACATAAAGGTGAATCTATTCTAATTGGAGAATAACACTAAAAACACCAAAGCAACTACACAATTTTTTCATGATTATAATCATTTCATAGTTTTCCTTGCAACATATTTTGTTAAGTTTGATACCCTTATCTGTCTGTCTTAAATCACAATGCAGAATGCAATGATCAGCAGCATTGTGCATGTAACAAACATTCCTCGAAAAAGAGTTGTGAAGTGGTTTGAAGACAAACGTGCTGAGGAGGGAGTTCCAGATCACCGTCTTCCTTACCAGCGCTCTGTTCCTGAAACTGCATGAAGATTTTATCTTTTATCGTGTGTGAACTCTTATTTAATATATATATATATATAATTAATTAGGTTTCACCAACCTCGGTTATGTTTTGGGTGTTAGCCATGGGAAGAAGAGAATTAAAAATAGTGACAAATGGCGTTGCGGTCCTCTGCCACGCTGTGCATTTTGGGTCCATTGGTTCACTGTAAGGATTACAATTAAACCTATATTCTTAGGAATTAAATTTATATTCGGAGAGATTAATCTATCCCGCTTCAAATTTAAAAGAAAAAAAAACCGAATTGATAAGGGATAAGTCCATTGGTTCAATATAAGGATTATAATTAAACCTATATTCGTAGAAATTAAATTTATATTCGGAGAGATTAATCTGTGCCGCTTCAAATTTGAAAGAAAAAACTGAATTCATAAGGGATAAGATTAGAGATGGGAAATTCAATTCTCGTTTTAGATCTAATTTTATATTTAAATTTAAATTTTAAAATATTAATATTTTAAAATTATTTTTTTTATTATATATAAAATCTTTTTTTATATTTTATTATTTTTTACTAATTTTTAAAATTTTTTTTAATCTTTTATATCAATTAATTTTATTTTCTTTATTGTATTTTTTATTTTTTTTTCATATTTTTTAAATCTCTTTAATTAATTTATTTTGTTTTTTTCAAATTTTTCAATCAATTTGATAAACATAAATTTTTTATTTTCTTTATCTTTTTTTAAATATTTTTTCTAAATATTAGTAATAATTAATATTATTATAATTTATATTTATTAAGTTTTATTATATCATATTTTTTATTTTTATTATTTTTATTTATTATATATTAAATTTTATCTTAATAAAATAATTATATTTTAAAGGATTAAAAAGAATTAATAATTTAAATTTTTATTATTTTGAACTAATTAAATAAAAATTAATTTATTAAATATTTTTTTATAAATTATATATTTTATATTTTTAAATAATAACTTAAAAATAAATTATTTATATATGTAATCAAATGTTTGAATATAATATAATAATAATAATAATAATGTTATAAGTATTTAAGTATCTAAATGTGATATAATAATAATAATTATAATAATAATAATAATAATGTTATAAATATTTATTTATATATAAAAAATATATAATAAAATTAATTTATTATAAATATAATTATTTTTTAAAAAATAATATATATCAAAGAAGGATGACAGTGAAAAAATTTGAAATCCAATAAGAACCAAAATAAAGACTTAATTTTTAAAAAGAGTTGAAATAAGAGGTTACCCGTTACCATGAGTACTTCAAACTTCAATGTCATATGTTCAAAAATAGTCACAACTATAGTTGTTTGTCCTGTAATAATTAGGTAATATTATAATTTAAGGAAATTACGGAAAAACTTTGAGATATTTTTGAATTCTACTAATATCCCAAAATTTGTATATTTTATACAAAACTCTCCTTGTCTTAATTTTTAAATATATTTCCTAGTTTAATCCAGTCTTTATTGTAATTTTAATGTATTTTCTGAAGTGAGATTTTTTTCATAACCACTTAAAAAGAATTAAAAAGATTTTATTAATGAATTTAAAAAATTAAGATTTAATAATATAAAATGTGTAAAATTAGTATTATTAATTGTACGTGTTTTTCTTAAATAAGATCATTGTAATAGTTAGAAAAAAACATGAAGGACAATAGTATAAATAAGTCATAATTTGTTCTTCAGTTTTATGCAAGTGACTACACTCAATTGAAAAAGTTGTATTGAGCAAAGCTCCACCGACTCCTCTCAGATGATATATAATACGGGGTTGGTGGGAAACTCACCTTGTGAAGGGTTAAAATGCTAGGCGAGAATACGAGAAAGGTGAGTAAAATGAGAGGATGGGATGCGAAGAGAAAAGAGAGTGAGTTTTTGTCTTTTTCTCTTAATGATATTATAAAAGTTGAATTTAATTTTAATATTTTAAAATTATATAGTGTTGAACCGTGTCATTTATTGTGTTACTTTCAATTGTAATATATATAAAAATAGATATAGATAGATTGTATGTAGGATAGATACGTAAAGCTTCGTGCATAAATTGAACCGGTCCTAAATTTAAATAATAATTTAAAAAAATGAAATATTTATTAGTTTATATAAATTTATATTTTTATTTTCTATTATAAAATGTCTTAACATTTGTTAAAATAAAGATTATCAAATAAATTCAACTTCATTTTTTTAGTTAGTTATTTTTGTAATTTTTTTGGTTATTTATTTAAAATGTTGTAGTTCCAATATGGACCAACTCATTCAGTCAAAACAAGCGTTAGAGAAAAATGTGTTAGAAAAAGTGTTGAAGGATTAATTAACCACAATGTTATGATTCAGTTTAAATTTTAAATTTATAGTGACTTTGAGATACTATTTGGCGTTATGGTAAGTAGTAACATATTTTTAACTGCAATAAATCTAATGGCTGACTCAGTGATTGATGAATCTATGATGTATGAATAAAAACAAATTACATCTTTGTTTTTTATTCCTATTCATGTTAATTACTAGCTTGTATAAATAAAAAATATCTTAAATTTAACGTGGATGAAATAGTTTAAAGCAAACTCAGAAATGCATTCGTCATAATTTTTTTTGTTCGATTGCATTAGTCGTAGTTTAGACACAATATATTATACTTAATTTAGATATAGCTTGATGATAAGTAAAATTTTGTAAATGTAATTATAATAATCACCGAAACAACTCATCCTTCTCAATCAACTTTCTTATTTCAAAACTTTTACATTTTGTAAATGTAATTTATGAAAATAACTTTTTTTACCTAATTCCTTTCTAATTATTTTTTTACTATATAAGATCCTAACCATAAATCGGATCAACATAATAAATGAATATTTCAAGGCATAAATAAATAGTTAAGAAATTATTGATTACAATTATTAATGCAATGATGTAAATTGCACAACTACTTTTGACGTATGTAATTCATTGTATTATTATAATCCTACGTATGCTTACAATGGGGCATATTTTTAATCATGTAAGTTCCTTTTTGAGTTGGAGTAAAGTGCAATTGCTAGAGAACCCCGGAAACAATGTTTTACCAAAGTTTTGTCGAAACACCAAGATTTCTAAGCAGCACTTTATTCAATTTCACAGTCTTATTATATTTGATTTTTAATAGGACACCTTCGTTATTTTTGGACTTTCTTTTTCACCCTCGTTCATACAAATGATTTTAATAATTTAATTATATATTGTAAATTATATAAAAATTATTTAAATTCATATTATATAATTTAATGTATTTATATATAATTAAAACAATCATTTTCACTATATTGCACATATTTTCTTTTCTTTTGTCGGTCACTGATATTATTACAAGAAATTGACAACAAATTATTCAGTGTTAGTTGTAACGGTCCAGTTATTATATTTGTAGTAGGGTAGATCTGTAATTTGGTGGATGATGGAGCACATTTGTAAATCTTCTGGCACCGACAGCCGGTGAGAGGAAAACAGGAAGCAACCGGTAATAACTCGGACAGCCTGGCGCCACTTAGGAAATATTCCGCATGTCAAACTCCGCATCACTTCGTGTCTCTTTCAAAGCGGTTAACACGTGTGCGCACGTGATTGGGTTTTTCAGAAGAAGCCAATGTAGTGACTGAGCCGAAGCTCAAAAGTCAGAGCTTAAGCGGCTTCGGAAGGCACCGGGAAAGGGTTCATCCGGTAAAGTAATATCGATAAAACAGAGAGTGAGAGCGTCTTGGAGGCTTAGCTAGCTGTAGTCTGGAAGTGAAGAGAGAGAGTGAGAGAGAGAGATGGCGTATTGAATGGGCGAAGATTATCACGCTTTGCTTTTGCCTCCAAATTGATCTCTCTCTGCTCTGTGTGTCACGATCTTCGATCTGAAGCACTTCCTCTGTGAAGATGGAAGCAAGTGCGGGAATGGTCGCTGGCTCGCACAAACGGAACGAGCTCGTTCGGATTCGCCACGATTCTTCTGATAGCGGGGTTAGTCTATCTCTGTCACTCTCCCTGACATTGTTGTTCTCGTTTTATGCTTCTACATCAGATCTGATTTTCATTTTAGTGTGCTTTTGTGTTACTTAGTGCGATCTTCGAGTTTTATTTAATTAATTAAGGAATTAAGATATTGAGTAATGCTGATTTAGTGTAACGCTTTTAATCTGCAGTCTAAACCCTTGAAGAGCTTGAATGGGCAAATCTGTCAAATATGTGGTGATACTGTTGGATTGACTGCGACTGGTGATGTCTTTGTTGCTTGTAATGAGTGTGCCTTCCCTGTGTGTCGCCCTTGTTATGAATACGAGCGAAAGGATGGGAACCAGTCTTGTCCACAATGCAAGACTAGATACAAGAGGCATAGAGGTTTGTGAACTTTTTCTTTTGGTTATTGTTTTTTTGGTGACTGTTTGTGATTAAATTTTGATTTGAATGAGTGGTTGTGGATACGGTAGGGAGTCCTCGAGTCGAGGGAGATGAAGATGAAGATAACTCTGATGACATAGAGAATGAGTTCAATTATGCACAAGGAAAAGCCAAGGCCAGGCGGCAGTGGGAGGAAGATCCTGACCTATCATCGTCTTCTAGACGTGAATCTCAACAGCCAATTCCCCTCCTCACCAATGGCCAAACGGTAATAATCTTTTCGACTATTATATGGTTTCTTTATGCGGATTGTACACTAGACTCTATCTGCATACTTATACTATAGCTGGGTTTTAGTGTGTTTGAGAAGTGAGAAAGGTGCACAAAAAGAAGGGTTGCTGAGAAGAACTGGGATTTAGTGCTAGGATTGTTTTTGAATATTTGCCTGACTTTTGATCTCTCTTTCACTTGCTATAATCACTTTTTCAAGTATGTTCAATTGTCTGGATTTTGTCATCTGTTTTATTGATGGTCGGCTGGAGCGTAATGTAACCTTCTGATCGCATTTTTTAACTTAATATGGTCAGATGTCTGGTGAGATTCCGTGTGCCACACCTGACACTCAATCTGTACGAACTACTTCAGGTCCTTTGGGCCCATCTGAAAAGGTTCACTCACTCCCCTATATTGATCCAAGGCAACCAGGTATAGGGTTAACTAACTGATGCTACAATGTGATATTTCACAGTTATTATGAAATTCAAATTCACCAAATCTTGTTATTACAACAGTTCCTGTAAGAATTGTCGACCCATCAAAGGACTTAAATTCTTATGGTCTGGGAAATGTTGACTGGAAAGAAAGGGTTGAAGGTTGGAAGCTCAAGCAGGAGAAAAATATGGTACAAATGACTGGTAGATATGCTGAGGGGAAAGGAGGAGATGTTGAAGGGACTGGTTCTAATGGAGAAGAACTTCAAATGTAAGCGACTTTTACCATTTTCATTGATGTTTAATGATTATAGATCAATACTTGCAAAAATCTTTGCTAATGTAGGTTAGACAATTATTATTTTTTCTTTGAATTGCATTCAAGATCATTAAAAGGAGATTCACATTCTCTTCCTTAGGAAGATTGCTTGTGGTTGTGTCATATCTAATAGGTTAGACAATTAGTTCCAGTCATTATCTAATAGATTAGTAGTTTACTTGTGGTTGTGATACAGCATTTTGATATTTTTTGAAAGTGTGTTGGGGGGAAGGCGATTATTTATAGGTCTATATTTTTTTAACTAAATTCATAATTGCAGGCATATACTAGTTTTCAACATATATGCAGTTTGGTTTTCATTTTTTCTATTTTAAGTTAAATTTATTTTCTCCTGACAGGGTTGATGATGCTCGACAACCCATGAGTCGTGTGGTGCCAATTCCTTCATCTCAGCTGACTCCTTATCGTGTTGTTATCATACTCCGTCTTATTATTCTTGGCTTCTTCTTACAATATCGTGTAACTCACCCTGTGAAAGATGCATACCCACTGTGGTTGACATCCGTTATTTGTGAGATTTGGTTTGCCTTATCCTGGATACTGGATCAGTTTCCAAAATGGTCTCCTATTAACCGGGAGACTTATCTTGAACGACTTGCTTTAAGGTTGGGATTGCTTATTTTTATTCATGTTTGTTGTGCTTTTGCATTTTGGTTTAACTATCATGTGGGTTTTTCTATGTCACTAATCTTAGCATGTCTTCTTTTAGATATGATCGTGAAGGAGAGCCATCACAGTTAGATCCTGTTGATGTGTTCGTTAGTACAGTGGATCCCCTCAAAGAGCCACCTCTAGTAACTGCAAACACTGTGTTGTCTATTCTTTCTGTTGACTACCCTGTGGACAAAGTTTCTTGCTACGTATCAGATGATGGTTCAGCTATGTTGACCTTTGAAGCACTATCAGAAACAGCTGAGTTTGCAAAGAAATGGGTGCCCTTCTGCAAAAAGCACAATATTGAGCCAAGAGCCCCGGAGTTTTATTTTGCCCAGAAGATTGATTACTTGAAGGACAAGATTCAACCTTCCTTTGTAAAGGAGCGACGAGCAATGAAGGTTGTTCTTGGAGAAAATTGTTTTTCTGCTTCCAATAAATATTTATATCTATACATTTTTAATGCACCATGTGAAAACATCGGCAAAGCACTCAGTTCTATACATGAGTATTAGAAAATTGAATATAAATTTATTTTTTTCTTATCAGAGGGAATATGAAGAATTCAAAGTACGGATCAATGCCCTGGTAGCCAAAGCTCAGAAGATGCCAGAGGAAGGTTGGACAATGCAGGATGGAACTCCTTGGCCTGGAAATAATCCTAGGGATCATCCTGGAATGATTCAGGTATTACCTTTTTCTCCTAAGTGCATATATGATCTTTTTGGCTTTTATTTTTCTTTTCAAGTTCTAATATTTGTTTTCTGCAGGTGTTTTTAGGTCATAGTGGAGGTCTGGATACAGATGGAAATGAGCTGCCTAGACTTGTTTATGTTTCTCGTGAGAAGCGGCCAGGCTTCCAACATCACAAGAAGGCTGGAGCTATGAACGCATTGGTTTGTCATCCTGAATCTTCTTATTTTATGTTTTATGGATATCCTGGAGCTATGACTCATGCTTATACCAGAACTAATATATATTGAAAATAGCATACAAACTGATGCTGTGATTTAACATGGCACAATGATCCACTAACAACTGAGTAACAAGTTTTCTAATCCGCTTTAGTATGTGAACATTGTTGGTAGTTAATCATGTGGATTTTGTATGAGTTAATAGAGGAAATTATTATTATTATTCTTTTTATTCCCTCTGCAAACCAGTTATAGATTTCCTACTGTGTCCTGCTTGGGTATATGGTTGTGGTTTTTATTTAGCAAAAAAATGTTTTAAGCATATCTAACCTTGGTTTACATTGTGATGTAGATTCGTGTTTCTGCTGTCTTGACCAATGGAGCATATCTTCTGAATGTGGATTGTGATCACTATTTCAATAATAGCAAAGCTCTTAAAGAAGCCATGTGTTTCATGATGGATCCTGTTCTTGGAAAGAAGACATGTTATGTGCAATTTCCTCAGAGATTTGATGGCATCGACTTGCACGATCGATATGCCAATCGCAATATTGTGTTCTTTGATGTAAGTCTCACTTTAATTTGTGTAATTTTGTAAGTTTCGACAATGAAATTTTTTCTTTGATTTTGTATTTCTGTCTAATGTTTTGGCTAAATATCATTTCTTTTATGTACCTGTCAGATCAACATGAAAGGTCAGGATGGTGTTCAGGGTCCAGTCTATGTGGGAACTGGTTGTTGTTTCAACAGGCAGGCTTTGTATGGTTATGATCCTGTTCTGACTGAGGAGGATTTGGAACCTAATATTATTGTAAAGAGTTGTTGGGGTTCTAGAAAGAAGGGAAGGGGTGGCAATAAGAAGTACATTGACAAGAAGAGAGCAATGAATAGAACTGAATCTACTGTTCCCATATTTAATATGGAAGACATAGAAGAGGGTGTTGAAGGTATGCTACTATGGAAAAACTCTCTCGATTATGCATGTGGATTTTTGTATCTTGATTTCATGTATTTTTATTGTCCTCTGTATCCCATCGATCATTTTTACTGGTAATTTACTCTAAATTGATTTACTTCGCCTATATATATGCAGAATTATCTGAGAAAAAAAGATGACAAATATCTTATTGTTGGGGATATGTAATGTGTCCTTTTTCAGGTTATGACGATGAAAGGTCACTGCTTATGTCCCAAAAGAGCTTGGAGAAGCGTTTTGGTCAATCTCCAGTTTTTATTGCTGCCACTTTCATGGAGCAGGGTGGCATTCCACCCTCAACAAACCCTGCAACTCTTCTTAAGGAAGCAATCCATGTTATCAGCTGTGGTTATGAAGACAAGACTGAATGGGGCAAAGAGGTGAGCATGTCAAATTATCATTGTGGCCTTAATTCCTGTTCTCTGGTATAAAAAAATGAGATGAAACATTAATAAATAAGTAGCTTGTTTAGATATTAATTAAACATTTTCTGGCTTCACCAGATTGGATGGATTTATGGTTCTGTGACGGAAGATATCTTAACTGGGTTTAAGATGCATGCTCGTGGTTGGATTTCCATCTATTGCATGCCACCTCGCCCAGCATTTAAGGGTTCTGCTCCAATCAATCTTTCAGATCGTCTCAATCAGGTGCTTCGGTGGGCATTGGGTTCAATTGAGATTTTTCTAAGCAGGCATTGTCCCTTGTGGTATGGCTACAATGGAAGGTTGAAGCCTCTGATGAGACTTGCTTATATTAACACCATTGTCTACCCCTTTACCTCAATCCCACTGATTGCTTACTGTACGCTACCTGCATTTTGTCTCCTCACAAATAAATTTATTATTCCTGAGGTAGGCGATTTCTGTTTTTTTTTTTTTTTCCTGATAAATTTTAATCCTTGTGTGATCTAATTGTAGATGTGAACTACATAAATTTTGGAAGTCTAGTAACATTTGATTAATCTTATGCAGATAAGCAACTTTGCCAGCATGTGGTTCATTCTCCTCTTCGTGTCCATTTTTACTACTTCAATTCTTGAGCTTAGGTGGAGTGGGGTCAGTATAGAAGATTGGTGGAGAAATGAACAATTCTGGGTTATCGGTGGGACATCTGCACATCTTTTTGCTGTGTTCCAGGGGCTTCTAAAAGTGCTTGCTGGGATCGATACAAATTTTACTGTTACATCAAAGGCATCAGATGAGGACGGTGATTTTGCCGAGCTTTATGTGTTTAAATGGACATCACTTCTCATCCCTCCTACAACGGTGCTTATTGTGAATTTGGTAGGGATTGTGGCTGGTGTGTCCTATGCCATAAACAGTGGTTACCAGTCTTGGGGTCCACTATTTGGCAAGCTGTTCTTTGCTATCTGGGTCATTGCCCATTTATACCCATTCTTGAAGGGTCTCTTGGGCAGGCAAAATCGTACCCCAACCATTGTTATTGTTTGGTCCGTTCTTCTTGCTTCAATATTCTCCTTGCTGTGGGTGAGGATTGATCCCTTCACCACTGACTCCAACAAAGTATCCAATGGTCAATGTGGCATCAACTGTTAGTTCTTTTACAAGATTCATTTTCTGTTGGTATTCCCCTTTGTCTGGAGATACTCAAGGTTGTCGTGTATATAGCAAGAATTTTCAGCCGATCAAAGTTGTTTGGAGGATTGAACCCCTGAAATTGATGGGAATGCACCCTCTCTGTAGCATTCGTATTTCTATTGTTTATTTATCTACATGTTCCTTATAACAATAGTGACGTTGAGGTTTATGTTATATTTTTTTCCCACATAATATAAATTGTTTATGCGAATATTTAATGAAAGCGACCAAGGTGCTGTGTTTTTTTATTCCATTGCATGTCCTCTTTATTGTTTGATTGTTCTCTATCCCCAGAACAAAGGCGGACAAAATAACAATTATTAAGTAGACGCCATTGTTTCCGAAGAATTGAGGTGTGACATAAGGTGTGCCCACCTAAATTATTGTTCAATATGTTTTCGATATGAATTTTCTTTGGAATAGTAATTAAAAAAAATATCAATGAATAGATGTTTATTGAAAATACGATAAAAATAATTACATATTGTAGTCAATGAAAAGGTTACTTATAATTTTATACACGTAAACCCTGTATTCACTATTGCTTGCTGAAATCATAATCATAATGCCAACTATGCATACTTGTAGCCATGAGAGTAAACAGACTGGATAGCACGAGTGATTCGTTATGGTGGAAAATTGCTGGGAAAATCACAAGTTTCAAGAATTGGTGACTAGGGAAGCACGAGTGAAATTATTTCTGAACTATTAGTACTTGAGTTATTTATTTAAACTTATTTATTAGTCAAATAAATAAACTTAATTGGTTAGATTTGATTATTTAAATGAGTTGAGTCTAAACTTTAAAAGGTGTGATATTAAAGGATTTATAATAACTCCTTATTTATTTATATATATATGAAGAAGGAAATATATTGTAGTTTATGTTTTATTGAAATATTAATACATGTGCTTAAAAATTTGAGTTTTATTAGCTGATATTAGGTTGTATTTATATAAAGCACTAACTTCTTTAAATACATTTAATATTTTTTAGAAAATATTTTATACATATTTTTTCTAAAAGATGAGTATTAAAATAATTTTTGGACGATAAACAAGTCAAGTTCAATCTTAATATTTTTTAATGAACCAACTTAAGCTTCTAATTAAACTTGATTGAATAAATGATCAAAATTACAAAACATTCAAGCAAGTTTCAAGAGATTGGTTTAACTGGACTCATTAAATAACTACTACTAATGAAAATGGCCAACTAAGGCCTTAAGACAAGTTTGATTTCAGGTATAATTTTTTATTCTCTACAATCAATCATATTATTTTAAAATTATATTCATTATTCACATACACCTTTTTGTGTTGGCATATAATAATTTTAGAAAAAAAAAGTTAATTTAAAATTAAAATTTATTTTATTTTAAAATTGAAAAATATATTTATTTTTTTTAAAAGAAAAACAAAAGATGAAAGAATGTAATGAGAATAAATAGTTATTTAGACACGGATATGTTACTAAGAATTTAGCAAATTGGTCCTTTGCTGTAAGTTTATGCCTGCGACTGTTGTTAGTGTAATAGGTAGTCGCTTCCTGCTATCACAAATTTTGTAGGATTCAGCAGAATCCAGTTTTGCTGTTGTGGGTTATTAATGTGTTTAGCATCACTTACCTATTGCTTGCTGCTTGGGAACTATCCTCTGCAACAAAGTAAATAATAGATTAACTATCATGAGTCAATTATGTTCAAAACATAACTGGCAAAAGTGTGAGATTCTGTTATTTTTCCCCAGCTTAGCTAGCAAAATATTAGAATTCAGAGTACCAACATATAAAAAGGACAAAACGTATATTCCATTCTCAATTGCTTATAAATGTGATTTGTGGGGAAAAAAGAATTCGGTAATACAAGAGAAATCCAAAATAAGTTGTTGGAGTATGCATGAAGAGAGTAAAGCAGTTCCGCTTCTTGACCTCAATGGAAACAACGTACTTTATTTGACTCATCCTAATCCTCCTCATCGTTCTCTAGAAATATCCTCTTGCATGCTTCGTAGCACATGAAAGAGATTCCAGCGGCTGGTATCAACTTCATGCAACTAGGTGCCAACCCTCTATACAAACCTTGCATCCCTTCTTGTTCTAGTATGCATGCAAGGGCATGAAACACATTCTTGTAAACCTGTCTTCCACTGAGAGTACCAAGTTGCATTTGCTTGCGAGCAACCTCCATTGGAAAAGTTGAGCTACTTGAAATAGCACCAGCTATCGAACCGATCAAAAGGGTTTCAATATTTCCCACCTTCTCTTGTTTAAAAATTTTCCGGTATGCTTTCTTTAAAGTGTCATATGCATAGTAATTGGCTGCAGCATAGGGGACAACTCCAATAAGACTAGCTGCAAGGCCACTGTAAAGTTCAGCAGGACCCTCTTCTCGAATTATTTTCACGAATGCATGAAGAAGACCATCATACACATCTCTCTGCAAAATCACTAATCAAGTTTTAGTTTACCCTTTTATTTTCTGATAGGATGCTGAAAATTCTAAAACATGAACATGGGAAAGCAAACGTTTTTATATGTTTTTTATGTAGATACCTGGACAGTTAGTCGAGTCTTGACTAATTCAAGAGGATATGTACATAAAGTTGAAGTCAATCCAGCACAGGCACCTGCAATCAAGGATGCAGGAATTGGGAATTTGGATTCCTCCCCAGGCTTTGGGGATAGGTTCTTGTTTACTGTATCGAAAGTAAATAGCTGCAGCAACATGTGAAAATATACTGAGATACATAAAAAATATATAGCAAGTAGATTTGATAACTGATAGATTTTTAATGCTTTTTTCCTCTAGAAGCATGATTTTTCAACAGAAGATTAACATGCACGAAAGGATTTATTTTTCTGTGAAAAATCGTCTAGTATCAACTTAGGTTCTTGTGCATGCAAAATTGAATCGGAGAAAGATATGTGGAGTTTCTGTTGCTTGGAAATTTTAAATATGATTTCAGGCTACTGTGGAATACTCCTTCAATGCAAAAATGGATTTTGCACGAGTGTGGATTAGTATTCTATCCCTAAATCAGATAATTAAAGAAGATATTCCATGAAGAAACTAATAACTGTTACTGAAAACCATGTTCATCAAAACCCACACTAATTGGCACCCAAAGATATTCAATGAAGTCTAAACATCCAATTTTTTTATAAAAGATTCCGAAATATAGAATTTGATTTCTAAATCAAATATAATCATAATTTAGTTTCAAGTTCAGAACTACGATGTCTGGGAATCAAAGTCCTTTGATTACAAGGGTTTGCCTGACTTCCAAAAATTGAATTCACAAGTTCACATGCTGAAGATGGAGAAAACTAAACTAAAACGCATACTTGCACATTGACTTACCTGAAGGGTCATTTTAGCAACATAAATTGAAGCAAATTAAGTCACACAACTGTTAGCGATTAAAAAATGGTAAGGCAAATTAAAAATATACATATAGACAAGCAAAAATATTGGAGCGAACAGTTGAAGGCAGATACTATCATGAAAAGAAATGGTTGCACATAGTTTCAATGGGTAGATCTCTTGATGAAAACATTAAAGGTGGTCTAGCACACGAGCCTCCCAACATAAGAGGTTCTGCGAAAAGAACCAACTGCACCTGAATTAGAAAACATTACAATTTTAAACAGAATTTGAACGATAAGGTGACATAAACCACCTATTAACAAGTGTTGTATAATTGTATTTCTGTTCAATCATGACCTTTACATTTTAGGCAATTTAAAGGATTCAAAGAGCTTGAAAAATGAAACATTTTGGGGCACGTGAAAGGGCTCAAAGAGCTTGAAAATGAAACATTTTCTGGCACATGGAAGGGATTAAAACACCTGATTTGTTAATTCCTGGGAAATCTTTCTGAAACAATAACAAGTTCTGAATACAAAGCTGCGTCCATTTCCTTAAAATAAACTTTAAAAATATATGGTATCATGCCCTCCCTACCCAAGAAACCTCTCATCAAATTTACCAGACCGTAGACTTCCAGTACTTGTGATTCTAGAATCTTTAGCACTCTACTTTATATAGAAAATATGAATGGCTCTCAACCCTCCCAAAACAGACCCTTACAGCAGCCGAAAATCCGATCCATGATATAAACAAATGCACAAACGAAGAAACAAAGTGTTTAAAATAAACAAAAACCTACTCTTGGTATCAAAAACAATGATCAAATAGCAGATAAACTTATCACAGGTGCAGGACAATTATACAAAATGAAATCAATCAAGTAACCCAAGAGAGAGAGAGAGAGAGAAAAAAAAAAAAGAGCAAAGCATAATAACATCATACAGTGATAAATTATACAAGATGCTGAAGAAGCTTGTTTACATTACCTCAATGGCCTTGCTAGGCGCAACTCGAATGACGTTAACAAAATTACCCCTAAACAAGCCCTTCCAGCCATCAGTTTTAATGATATTGTGGAACACCTCAGTGGTGGAATGGTCACTACTTCCCACCATCATAAGAGTTCTTATAGTCTCCAAAGGTGCTACAGCAGTGCGAGACACAGCCCCAGCTATTGCCCCACTAAACAACCTTCTCAGAGAAGGGTTTTTTATCTTAATCCTCAGTGAAACACCACCCTTTCTCTTCTTGCCATCAACCCTTTCTTCAACAACCTCATCTTTTCCCTGGTACCTGATGAACAGTTCATTGAAGGGAAGCTTCGTGCCACCATTGTCGCGCGGATCAGAAGGGTCACTTGGTTGCACGCCAACCCCCATTCCCACCTGACCAACACTGGCAAACAAGCCTCCGAATTGGTAGCACCTATCTTCGGATTGGAACCCCAAGCAGCTGGCAGAGAAAAACCCATCACTTTTCTCATCAAACAGTTGGATTCTCCTTCTACCCATCAACCACAAAGGCCTTGTGACTTATCTTATGATCTGTGATGAAGGTTACTTTTTTCTTTCTGCCAGCGCTCAACGATGACTGTCCCTCACAGTCATGATTTCAGAGAGACCGTGAAATTGTCAGCCCTAGACAGAATCGAAAAAAGAAGTTTGCAATGAAAAGTGGGCAAATGAATGAAGATGTTATTGTGTGTAGTGTGTCCCTTTTTCTCTACTTGCAACTGAATGTCACCTTTTAAATTTGTATTTTTTTATTTTTTTTTGGTTCAATGCAGTTGTCTCTTGGTAAGTTGATAAGTTAGGTACTTGCTCTTTTTTAAGTCGCGTTGTTGTGGCACCGAATCTTAATCATCGGTTCTTGTAGTTTTACAGAAACATATATGCAGGCAACATAGTAATACACGCCGATCGTAGAAAATATAAACATGGTAATATACGAATATATGTTCTTTTAATATTAATTTATTTCAAATCACGCAGTTTTATTGTTTGAATTTTTATTTAACGAAATATATTCAAGATTTTGTAATATAATAAATTCTTTAAAATATTTAATTTTTTAAGACACTCTTTTATTTATTAAAAATTATACTACGGAACCCACTTTAACTTTAGTGAGTCACACTCATTATCTTGTAATTTACAGAAATTATTGATTAATTTAAAAACATAGAATGGAATGTTATTCCAAAAATGATGAAAAAAAATGTTATCGACATTTCTTAATAAAATTAATAAAAAAAATGTTTATAAATTCACGCAAAGTTTATTATTATGACTACTCGGATAAATGTCCTCACGGCAGAGAATGTATGCGGATCTCGTTTGACTTGTTTTTTTCCTATTCTTCATGGCATTGGTGACTCTTTTCATCACAAATATTTTATTTTTTTAATTATTACTGAAGTTTTCATTATATATATATATATATATATATATATATATATATATAAGAATAATCGATTAATTTTTAAAAAATGCCTATTTTTTAATTTCTCTAAAAAAAATAATTTTTTTTAAGATGTTGTTTATGTGCTGTGTCCCTTATCTATTTGGATAAGAAGGAGGCTTACTTTTAAGTCAAAAATATCACAATCTAAATAATTTTGTTATTCGTTTATTGTTTTGTTTAGTGCATGTGGTGGCTCTTGGTGGGATGAGAAGTTGGTATAGTTGCTATTTTTTAATGTTGTGTTCATCTCATACCTAATCCCAATCGGCTAAACCTCAATTTTATATAGAAACAGATATGCTTCTAATATTTGGTATCATAAATGTTCAAATAAAATATATATAATATTTTTTTACGTATCATTAAGTATTAAATTATCCTTAATATGCGCCCTCCTCCTAATAAAGCTTTCATCTGCTAACAGTGTTTTTTTATATATATAAAATTATTCTGTTAATTATTATTTAAGCAGAATCGATTACTTGAAATTAATTATTTGTAGATTCTCTCAAATAACTAACAAAAGTAAATGATTAATCAATTGGAAAAAAATAAATCATTTTCCACAAATTATTTGAATTGAATGAATTTTCTTTCTTTTACTGTCCTTGAAATTAAAAACAAAAATAGCTCATAAAATTGACCATTGTCGATTATTTCGATCCTCCGTATTAGCATTTCTCAACTTTAATAATTTTAACAACTTATGATTTTAGTCCTTAATTTTAATGTGTATCAATTATTAACGGCTATTTTTAACAAATAAATAAATTATGAAATTAAAGACGAAATAGATTGATGCAATAGCATTTCTCCGTAGGTGTTTTAGGATAAATAATAAAATAAGTTTTTTTTTTATAAATTAAAATTACTTTATGTATAAATAAAAATAAAATTTTAAAAACTCGTAACAAATATTTAGTTTATGTATTTTTTTTATGAAATCTAATTTCAATTTTTTTATTCTTTTTCTCGATTGTAAATATTTATGGATAATTCCTTTCAACCATGTCTTAAATTGATTAATGACGGTTATAGTTTCAAAAATTATTTTATAATACATTATTCTCTCCAGCCTTTAATATAAGACAATGTTTAGAAACAAATTTGATATTTTTATAAAAAAAAGTATAAACTAAATGTTGTCTTTTAAAGTTTATTTTAAAATAAATATTATGGAAATGTATTTTTTATTAATAGATAATGAGAAAAAAATTTAAATAACTAGCACTAAAGATAAAATTGGTAGATTGATGATATTATTATGAAAATTCAATAAAATAAAATATTTATTTATTAATACGTGTAATTATATCAAGGAGCATGGAAACATTGTTGATTAGTTTGACAACCAGAATTTATGAATCTGAATTAGTGACGTATTTTTGTCCCTTTTACTTTGTTATTGTTATGACGTACGGATCTCAATCTCACCATGCTTGTTAGTTTCTTGGGCTTCAATTCAACTTTAGAATACAATTTGGGCCTCCATTGCCCACAAATCATAAACCCACATAAAACGCCCTTACTTTTTTTTTTAAAATATATTTTTGGTCTAAAAAAATGACTAGATTTTGGAAGTTGTTTTCTTTCTCTCTGCCTCCTTATATTTATTTAAAATGATACTATTGTCTCTAGTTAAATAGGTTTGAAAAAACTCATTCTACAAATTTTCAGATTGATATTTTCAAAAACTTTTAAAAACGTTCCAAAATTAATTTTCTAGAAATATATTCTGAAAAACTGATTCTGGAAATTTTATGAAAATATATTATGGAAAATTGATTACGGAAATTTTTCAGATTAAAAAAAACTGATTTTATAAAACATAATTCAAAAATAGTGTGGATTATATTTTTTTTAGAATAAATTGCGGATTAAATAATTCAGAATATATGTTCAAAAAATAAAATCCATAAATAAATTTTCAATTATTAAATTTTGAATACATTTATAAAAATATAATCTAAAAATAAGTCTTAAATTATTAAATTTAAAATATATTTCTGTAACAAAACACAATATAAAAATGAGTTTCAGATATAATATATGTTTTTTTTAAATATATTATGGATTTAATACTATGAAACACTATTAATGTAAATTAAATTTATTTTTACTAGATATTTTAAAAACACAACATATAATATTATGTAAAACATAAATCACTGAAAAAGTTTTAAACTTAAAATAAAAGTGTTACTTGAATGAATGAATGTACAGAAGGCTCAACAAATGGAGATGCCGTTGTTGGTATGGGAACTACAAGAAGAAAAAGGAAAACTGACCTCAAAATTATTTTTAATATTTTACATTTACAGAGGTGCAGAAGAAATTATTACGGTGCATTCAGAAAGCCTTCTGAAACTGCGTTTAGTTGGATTTTCCTCTAATTGTGTTGAAGACCTGATTTAGCAGATGTCATGGGCTTGCAGTTCATGGACAAAGAAGTACTTAACAGATACCATGAAAAAGTACGTTTAGTGTAAATACATTATACATATTTCCCAAGACTTTTCGATTATTAAAAGTCATAACAATTAAATGATTTAATCTTAAAATATAACACATTAGTTATAATTAAGAAAAAAAAAGAGACTCATACAAAGAGATAAATTATAAATTAAAAAAAAAATTGTCACTGAAAACAACACATTAAATAACTGTTGAAAATGAATTACATTAATTATAATATTAGAACTTTTTTAATGACACGTCAAATAATAATATTTATATTAGGACAAAAGTATTTAATTTCTTCATCTGATATTATTATTCAAACATAAATAAAATACATAAAAAGCATAAAGTTAATGCACATATTAAAATATCTAAATTAAAAAAAATACTGTTTTATTTGAAATTTAATTATTTTAATTTATAAATAAAAACTGGAAGAAAAAAATTAAATATAATAAATAAATACATAATAAAAAGTAAATTAATGAATGACTTAAATAAATAAATATTAACATTATTAAAATCTATTACTAATTTTCTAATAATTTTTATAATAAAAGTAAAATAAAATTACAATGTCTGCGTTAAAAATATAATAATAATGACCCATGAATGTTTTAGTAATTAAAATAATTTATTAAAAAATAATTAAAAATAAAATGTTTGAAGTGTTAATAATAAAAATTATTATTTCATTTAAGTTTAATTATTTTTTAATTAAAAACAAAAAAAAACTGAAAATTCAGTTTATTTAGTTATTACCTCAATGATTTAAAAAAAATCATAAATATAAATAAATTTATAATAATTGTACGAAGTCATAAATTATATATCGTGTCTTTTATATATATATATATATATATATATATATATATATATATATATATATATATATATATATATATATATATATAAATTATTCATAACTTTTCTAAATAATGTGGGGCTTACGTGATGAATATAAATAATTGGATGCACACTTAAACGTGGTTATTAGAAGTATGGTGTTCACTAGCTGGGCTCATTTTTAAGGTGTCTATCGTGATCCTGTATGAGTAGTTTACCACTAAAACCTGAGTCGAATGGAATGGGCTACGAAACCTCTCAACCATAGAAATCCCAAAAAGTTCATCTTCAACTATAAATTAATTGAATTGTGAACGTGTCATATGATTTGATATCATATTCCATAAAGTAATCATTTATTCAATAATACAATAATATTGTGATAAATATGAAAAGTTTACAGAATGTTATCCAAGTTAATGGTTATAAACAGGATACTGACATATACCATTAAGTTTATATAAATAGGGTATTGACAACTGATTATATATTAAAACGAGGTTGTCAACATATCATATCAGTACCTATAAATTGAGAGGTAGCACGCGGGATTGAATAAACCATTACGCAAAACAACTCCTACCATCCTTGTCCATTCCCAAATCATGATGAAGCTCTTTCCCCTTGTAATACTTTCAAGCCTATTGCTCAAACAAGTGAGCCTAGTTCTTGCAGACGTTGGTACTGCTGCATCTTATGGACCACCATACATACGTGAGTGAACATGGATTTGTTATTCATCTGTAATTTTCTCCAGTTTAGATGCCTTAGATATTATATGCATGCTTCGGAAACAATAGCTACAGTGGAATACGACACAAACACATGTTGCAGATTATCTGTATTTTCTTTCATAGTAAGACATGATCGACCACTTCTTATTGTTTTGTTGTTGTTGTTGCATGTTTGTTTGGGCAAGCAGCTACTGCTTGCGATGGCAATAGGCCAGGTCAATTTCCTTCTGGAAATCTATTTGTGGCTGTGAATGAAGGGTTATGGGATAATGGAGCAGCGTGTGGAAGGAGATACAGAATAAGGTGCCTGAGTGGAAACAATAGACCATGCAAAGGTGGTAGCATCGATGTTAAAGTGGTAGATTCTTGTTCAAGTTCACCTTGTCCCAACACCCTCCTCCTGTCTAACGATGCCTTTGCAGCTATTTCACGCTTCCCTCATGCAAAAATCAATATTGAATATACCCAGTAACTCTCTCTATTAATCTTTTTCTTAACTTTGACTTATGCCACCAATATTCTAGATCTACAGAGAAGCTTTTTTTACTAAGAATCAATTCAATTCATTGACTTTCACACAATATAAAAGATCTCTCACATGTTCTCATTTTCATATCAGAATACCACTGAAGTCTTTCAATTCACCAAATTGACTTTTGAAATTTTAATATTATTTTACATTCCAAAATCTTATAAACTTCCAACTATTTAAACAGAAAATTATAACTTAAGAGGTTTACGTAAAAGATGATACTTCATAAAAAAAATCAAGTCCAAATAATTGAACAATTAAATTATACTGTGCATGGCAATTACATTTATATATGATCTTTTTGATCCTCCATGTAATCTATTTTTAATGTTGTTCTTCCAGGATATGACTTTCCAGTCCGTGCAGAATACTCTAAATAACATCATCAAGGACAGGGAATAAGCTAGTGATTCGCTGAAGAAAATTTCAAAGCAGAATGTGATGCAAAACAAAATGTACAGGAGTGTCTGACAAAGCTTATGTATTGAACTGTTAATGTTCTTTAGTAAGCAAGATTTAACTTTTGGAGTCAAAACATTGATCTAATAAAACGCAATTTACCTGAACTTTTTGTTTCAATGATAAATTCTAGTAAGTACTTAGTCATGTTACTGACAAACAAATAGAAATAGCATATCTAATGATTAATGTACATGATGTTCTTTCTCTTAGAGTCGCTACAATTAACATATTTGAAATAGGAATACGACATGCACCGCAAGAATCTAAAACTAACCAATTTGCGTAATGAAACGATACTAACTTGAAGCTGGTATAGTTACCAAGATTAATGAACATGGAGTTCTTGTCTCTGGTGCTAGTGCTAGTAATTTTTTTCCAGTCTTTGTGTACTTAATCAATGAGTTGAGTTGTGCAGAAAGAATTCAATATCAATGAGGACAACGATGCTTTTTATTTAGTTAAAACTATAAAATGTCATTCGTTAAGATGGTTTGGAAAATATACAAAAGAGGGTTAAGGAAAAACATTTAGCAGAATATTGCATGATTTTGGTTTTCTTGAAAAAAAAAAAAGAATTCAACAAGAATTAAGAGAAATCCATGATAGATAATATTTCTAAATATTTAGTCTTCAAATGAATGGAATAATATTTGTATGATCCATTTAGAAGATCTTAACATATTTTTGTACCAGCAGAGTCGAATAAGGGACAAAATCCGTAACAGTGCTGTTTAAGCATATCGTATCAAGCATGAACACAAAAAACATTTCAGTATTTGAATATTTCAATTCAAATGACATACATCGCTGTTGTTTTTCGTTTTTTAAGATAACAAAGCACGTTTTGATGGAGTAAACTAGCAAATAGGATTATCTACTATGTTGTATTATGGAGGATTAGAATAAATCAATTATTTAGAACAATATTTTTTTAATCATTAAATATATTAATTATTAAAGTTATTAATTAAATTAAAAAATAGACTATTGAATTCATTTGACTTTTGTTATGGATGGTTGATGATGAAATGGGTCACTGATTATTATGTTGAAAGAAGTGTGTTAGGTTGGAGTTCTGAACGTGAAGTTACACATTAATTCTGTGTTTTATATTGTGTGAAAAAAATAAATAGATTAAGAAAAAATAAAAATGAATTTTGAGTTTTTTGATTGAAAAAAAAAGATAAGAAATTGAGAAATATATGTTTTAAAAACTATTTTGTTTGAACGATTAGATAAAAGATAATGCGTAAGCTTGAAAAACTATTATTATTTGTCTCTTCTCGATTCAAATAAACGAGTCTCAGTAAAAAAAAATTAAGGGTAAGAAAAAAAAAGTCAATTCTTACATATAAATATTCCTTCCTTTGTCCATGAAAGAACATAAATAACCTTTAAACAAGTTAAAGAACATATAAGATTTATGGTTGGACAGCTTCAAATTGAATTGTACAGAATGAGTGAAGAAGGGAAAATCTTCTTGATATATATATATATATATATATATATATATATATATATATATATATATATATATATATATATATATATATATATATATATATATATATATATGTTTTAAATATACTTGAATCATGAACCAACACTAACACGTTTTATAGAGAAAAAAAAATTCTATACATTTCAGAATTCCAAAAATCAATTATCATGTGGGGCTTTTTCACCATTTTAGGTCAAAAAATGTTCAATTTTATTGAAGGAGATAAAAAATTTTAAATTTTCTCAAAATGAGTTAAATCGTGTTAGGTGAGATGATTTTTAAATGATAAAATCGTGTTTAAAAGTAATTTTTTTTATTGAAATCGTGCTTCCAAGATTTCAGTATTATTGTAAAAAAAAACCGTGATTTCAGTATAATATAATGATATTTATACTGAACCTAGCACGAGTTTCTCACAATTTTAAAAAATTAGGATTTTTTTATTTTTTATAAATATCTAATATCTCATAATATGATGTTAACACTTGAGACAAAATTTGATATGAATGATGAATTGTAAAAAGATAGAGGTTGAATAGAATGTGAGAGTTGAAAAGGAGACGATAGAAAATGTGCTGAGTTTCCATTGAAGTGCAAACTTGTTTCGTTTGGTACTAGGATATGATAACCTCTTCTTTCATTAGTATTAGTGATTTTGTTAGCTCGCATAATAGGTGGGGCATAGTTGTTACTACATTGTTTGGATTAGTATGGTCACCACGTAAGAACTGATATTATTGTTGCATCAGAAGAAATGGTGATGGTGATGAGTTCACATTGTTGTTAGTTCTCAGTGACACTCAATAACAACTCTTTTGATCTCTCCTGTTTCTTGACTCATATTTAAACTTTCACCCTAATGAATCTATCCAGAAACATGATAAGGAAAACTTCTTTTTTTTAAGAAATCATCTAAAAAAAATCAAAATCATGCTTGGACGCATAATTTCAATTAAAAGTGTGCTTCCAAATATGATTTAACTCTAAAAATCATCTTAGGTGGCACGATTTAACTTATTTTAGGAAAATTTAAAATTTTCAACTCCTTTCCGCAATTTTTTTTTTGACCCGGTGAAAAAGCCATCATGTGGTAAGTGAATTGGGAATAATTGAATAGTGTTACATTTCCTCTTCTTGACTTGTTTTATTGACAAACCGGTAAACGGGGGGATGTGTGAACATTATGATAAGGTTAATGGAGTCAATAATAAGAGTAATTAACGTAGGATTAGTGAACCAAGATAAGGCTTAATTAGACTTGTCCACTGAGTCAACCCCACTTTTGGTTTGAGTGGATAATTTCAGTTAAACAACCATGATGAATACTTGCATAGATGAACCACTAAGTTTTATACGTTGCACGCAAAATGGATGTTATTAATAAGCACGCATGCCAGTTAGCATGTATGAAGAGAAAGTGGTGGGGAGGGACCTCATCAACTTATTACTCATCAGATTAGTGCAGTAATTAGTGGCCAAGTGTTATTTTTCAATCACAATGCGATAACCTCATTACCGTATTAAAATTCAGCCCTTTATATAATTGTTTTCTCAATTTTGTTTATATTTTATGCACCATGACCCATCACCATTCATTTTGCATTTGCAAACCTTGATGTTCACACACTGTTCATATAAAACCAAGATGAAATAGAAGAAAATCGTGAAAGCAACTCTTATCACCATGCATGATCACAGTCTATACAATTTATTTGTTGTTCGTTTACAAATGCACTATAAAATTTGTGTTAAGACAGACAGGCAGCATGTTGCATCGTGTGAAAATCAACAAATGGCCAAGTTAAATGAAAATAAAGGAATGGGCCAAGTTAAATGAATTCATGTGATGTTAAAATTTTATATTAACTATTCAAAAAATGAATTCATCTAACCCATTGACAATTTTTAATTTATACAAGGATATTATATATAAAATTTATATTTTTATATATATATATATATATATATATATATATATATATATATATATATATATAGTCTAAGTCATCACCTCGTGGATTAAGTTTTAAATATCTCTAAAATCATGTTCATTATCATAAAAATCACGCATAAAATAATAATCGACCACACAAAAAATACTACTAAAAAGAAGAATATTAATAAAAAAAGTCTTAAAATTAGAAAAAATACAAATTCAGATAAGCTCACTGTAGAGTCTATCTCTGCCAGCAACAATATCAATTAAACTATTTTACAAATTTTATATTTTTAATATATACCAATTCATTTGATACCCTCCTCTGCCCCCATTTCTCTACTCCTTCAATGCCCTTAATATGAAAGAGGACACATATCATACACAACTTTCACCTATCTGCAAAGCAAAATCTCTCAACTTAAATGATTCGCAATTACTTCCCTTGGTCGTGTATCATTTCTGATATCTCATATTTATATATTTCTCTTTCATATTTTCAGATTCTCTGCTAGACATTGTTTTTATGATACTAACAAAAGTTTTGATATTTTTTTCTTTAATAAAAAAGAAACTTTTTTACCAACTTGGTAAGAATTATTTTAGCCATTATTAGTGGAAAATAAATTGAGTCTATATATATTTATATAAAGAAAATTTTAATTTAGTCTCTCAACCAAATTTGAAAGGTATTCTGAAAGGCCCATTAAGTAATAAATAAAAATATGGCAATACCAACTAGTGATATAAAATCCCATATGGGACAAATCATCTTCAATGATTCTAATATTTATCTCCTTTCTTAATTTTTCTTTGAAATAATCACATTGCGCACGAGCAGCAAAAATGGAGAAAGAGGAGCTTAGTCTTCACTACGACGCAGAAGGGGACAAGACGGTGGGGACAATATTTCTCCGAGTAGAAGAAAAAGATAGATAAACCATTTTAATTGGATTTCGTCTTTATCAAAAAGGCTAAAATTGAATATAGCTGGCAAGAAATGGCGACAGAAAATGTAGCAGGAGCTAGAAGAGCAAAAAAATATTACTCAAAGATGTTGCAGGAGCCAGGAAGAACAAAAATTCGATGTCACATGTGCTAGAGCGATATGATGCAAGACAACAAGCACCGATGGACCTTCGTCATCAACATATGAGAGCATAAACTATTCCGTTTTCTTTTTCATACGGGTGAATTGGTGTTCAAAATTGTATGGTCTGGTCGAAAGTTTTTTACAAATTAGAGTCACAAACTGATTGAAGCTATTTGAGTAAAAACAAGAGAACAGACAACATTCACGGGTCAAAGTGCATGAACCCGATGGAGAATAATAGCAAATTGCTCAGATGCGAGGATATACACGAGAGCTGGAGAAAGACAAGGAGTGTTTATTTTGGTTTAGATATTCTTTTGTGACCAACCTACACGCAATCTCTAACTCAAGCCCAGACCTACTTTGGTGCTTGTTGAGCAAAGGGCCCTTTCTTTCCTTATCAACTGCCAGAAATGGAGACACTAACAGTACAGAGATTTTGGACACGAAATCTATGTAAAGGATATTCCATGGAACACACTATATGACGTGTAGGATACGATTTCTGTTGAATTTTCTTTTTGAATCACCAAATGTTGGAAGTACGATCAATCCTGTTTTCAGAACCTTAAATTTACAAGTATTTTTATACAGACAGTATATGGAAGCTTGAGTTCGTGCATCTTTAAGTATCATCTTTATTTTTTATTTTTATAAATGTTTATGAAGAAGTTTATTTGAATATCTAGTAGAGTCAAATTGACGATCACTTTCCATCAGGTTGGATTTCATCAAGTTGTTGATAAAGTTATTTCTCCGTCCACCCAAAACCGTTAATTCTTTTTTCTCTTGTTGAACACGAAACTTCTTAATTTTGGTAAATACCTGCTGGAAACGTAGCAGAGTCAAGCTAAGCCAACCTGAATAAGAAATAGAGCTTCTCTTCTTTTTGTTTATCTTGACTTTCATGTTCACAAAATAAGTCAACATCAAATACTGAATTAATCAAATATTTTCGACTTAAACGCAACTTATGCACACACATGGATGATTACAATTGAGTTCGCTTCTAGACCTATCTGTCGGTGACTATCAAGGTACGAATCTTGTTGTGCAACTAACCAAACCAATGCTAATGCCACCAACTTATGGTTTGATCATTGACCATGATCACCGGCTTTGAGATAATCACGCCCATAACACTAGATGAGTAGAGCCCAGTGTCCACCAGTGAAATAAATTCATTGATGGGACATGTGTTTTTTTCCATAAACGGTAAGTCAGCATTAATGGAATCGCTGTCTAGGAATTAATATCCCTCTTCTGAGATCATGAACGAGCCTGTACAAGGCCAAAGTGAGGGCAGGTTTTGGATATTACGAACCAAAAAAAGGGCAGGAATGTTGTGTGTATTAATCCTAGTGTTTCAGCGGACGATACACATTTTAGTAGAACTAACAAACTATGCTCTTGCTATCAGCTGCAACTCATCAATTCGATAGAGGAACACTCTTCAGTTACTCTGTTGATTTCTGGTTTAAAACAAGCGGTGCTACATGTAACAGTCTATAGACAAGCTATCAGACAGACGCGGCGCAAACTTGGGTAAAGCAGACAATATTGTAAATAATTAGAGGTTTTCAGGGGAAGAGAAAAGTAGAAAAGGATATAGCCTTTTCCAGTTTGTTGGACAGAGAAATATCAATGAACATGACATTTTCCCATCCATGTAACAATGAATAGGAGGAATTGGGTGGAATGGGAGGAAAGAGAGCGAAAGAAAGCCGAGATAAGAACATCATCAAGCATTGAATACGTAGATCCCAACAAGGTTTGAGTGCAACATCAGGGGTCCATTTCATATTTACGCGTTTTCAACATCAAAACTAACAGAAAAAACACTCAACGTCCTGAATCATTCTTCATAAACAGATCATTAAATTTCTGTTACGACTTACGGTAACCCAATGATGATAGCATTAAAATATAATAAGGCAATGTTTCCGCCAACAGCGCATCTGACCTAGTCCTTGGCCTGGGGCAAAAAGGAACACCCAGTACAACCATACGGAACCACACAATACAAAGGAAACGACCGTAATTGCAAGAGATCAACATGTTACTTTTACAAACTCATCACATCCACCAGTAATTAGGCAACATCAAGATCTCATCAGAGTTAAACCATCGTGAATTCATCAGCTTATAAGAAAAATCCCCAATTCTCAATAGCAGAAGAAACATCACAGAATAGAAATCTACTATGAATTTAATAACCATGTAAACTCCATAAATCGAGTTCCTACAACAACACAACATGAAACTAGACCACCAAAGATGCAATTGAGAGAAAAATAATAATAATAATAATAAAAGGATAGGAGATTCTGGCGCTAGTAAAACATTATTGTTCTCTATAATACGCACAACAAATGCCGGAATCTCAAATCCAAACCTACCATTTAACTATCCACGGCCACCATTAGCAACGTGAAGAGGATCTATAAATAAACCCAAAAAAAGAAAAAAAAACCCATACCGAACCGGCAAATTCGCTCAGAGAGGATGATGCCATTTCCATTTCCATATTTGCCACCAAATCGAAACCTCCTGGTTTTATTTTCCTCGTACTGTTTTTTTTTCTCTAGAATCTGTGTAAATAAAACAGGAAATGAATTAATTGATTATTAAATAAATTAATTAAATCAATTAATTCTGCTGGTCGTTTCTCTTGCCCATTCCGTCGGCATCTCTGTCCTCGAGCAATCTCCCTTCCTCCTCATCGGCCTGCGCGGTCTTCTTCTGCGCCTCCTTGGCCTTCAGCGCCTGCAACTTGGAGTGGTTGTAATACGCCACGCCAAGGAACGCGAGCCCGTACCCGAACAAATTAATCGGCGTCACAGTGTCCTTAATAACCGACCACGAGAAGGCAATCAGGAGCCAGTCCTTGACCACGCCGGCGACGTTCATCGTGAGCGCGGAGGTCTTCCCGACGAGGAGAAACACGGCGAGGTTGAGGGCGAAGGCGCAGAGGGAGTTGGTCCCGAAGATGACGAAATCGAACTGGAAGGTGGAGGTCTCTCGGAGGACAGGGTACTCGACGAAGATCCAGGGGACGGAGAGGAAGACGAGGCAGCAGGGGGCGACGTAGTAGAGCGAGGTGATGGGGTTGAGCGAGATCCCCTTGGAGGTGAGCAGGATTTGGATCATAACGAGGCGCGTGGCCTCGAAGGCGACGGCGCCCAGCTGGAGGAGGACGCCCCAGGTGTCGAAGCGCGCCTCGCCGTATGCGGCGACGCCGACACCGAGGGAGATGGAGAGCATGTTGAGCATGGTGTCGTTTTTGTAGGACTCTTTCCGGAGGAGGACTCCGATGGAGTAAACGGCGACGGGCATGAGTGCCTTCAACATCTGGATGAAGGAGACGGAGAGATAGATGTAGGCGGAGTTGGAGAGCCAGAGGGAGAGGGAGTAGAGGGCGCCGATGGGGACGACCGAGGAGAGGTAAATCTCGCGTGACATTGAAACTGGCTCAACGAGGCGGAAGACGCGTACGAGGAGGATGGCGAGGGTGGCGCAGAAAGACATGTGGATCATGGTGAGGGAAATGGGGAAGGGCCAGTTGTACATCTTCTTGTCGAGGATGTACTTGTTGTAGACGATGACGGTGAAGCTGAGGAAGATCCATATGGCCACGTAGGTGTAGGAGAGCACAATCTTCTTCACCACCCCATCACTCAGAGATCCACCTTTTCCCATTGTTACACAGAATCAGACACAGGGAGAGAGAAAGAGTCGGGTCAGAACCAAGAAAGAGAGAGAATGGAGTGAAAAGAAGAGATGTGGGATGCACTGCCTCAGCCACAGAACACGACACTTTCTTCACAACCTTAAATAAATAACACTATTATTAAATTATCTTAATTATGTTAATTAATTCTAATTTTCAATTTGATTCACAAAATTAAAACACTAACTCACTCCTGCTAAGTAAGTAGTTCTACAGTTGTATCTTCTACATATATGTATTATTTCTTCTATTGTTCACGCGGTTTTAAATACAACCATATTTTCCTCCCCCAGAGTACCTTACTTCAATACTGTTTTTTTTCATTTTTCTTTTTTTTTTTCCCTCAAATTATTCTTTTGAAATTCAAAGTGATTGAGTTTTCTATAACTAATATTTATCTACACAGCTTTTTAACTATATTATTATATATCATATCACCATATGTTTGTTAGTTGAATAGTGAATTGAGCATGTGATGACATGATAATATAATATTTTTTGTTGTTATATGATAAAGTTAATGGTAACTTTAGATTGAATTTTAATGCTGTAATGGGTCAATGATAGGATGGTGGATACTTTTATTTGTTAATTTGAAATTGTTTTTTTTTAATATATATATTATGAAATTTTTGGAAGAGAGAAAAACATGACTGATAGGTAATTTTTTCGTTCGTTTGTTTTTATTAGTAAACATGTTTTATTTGCGTGATTTGTTTATTTAAGAAAGATGAAGATTATGGCAATAGTAAACCTAATGGATGAATAAGGAATTAGCGATATTATTATAAAGAAGGTACGGTAAATGTCGTGATAAAAATCCATTACCTGAAATAGATCAAAATTTCCCCAATACCAAATTTTTTTTCTTCGTCAGATTTTATTACATAAATTGTTTCTATATGCCAAGTCCAGATTTAGAGAATAGTTTGTTTCTTCCCATGTGAAATATTTTTAGAATAATGTGACATTTTCTTACAAAAGTTCTATATTTATGAAGTAAGTATTAGATAAAAATAAATACATTAAAGGTCTAGAGAATTTTTTAAATTTTATTTATTTAAAAAAGTATCTAAGAAAAATTAAATTTATTTTTCCAGTAAAATCTAAATTCATTGGTATTTATCTGACATGATAATTATGGATACAGATATAGTTCTCATCATATATATAAAATAAAGAAAGAAAACACTTAGTTCTGGTGCAAAACAATATTTAAAGTCAATTCTGAACCAAGTCAACACCAAACCTAAATTTTGTAGGTTTCTGATATGTCATTTTAGTGTAGGGAAACCCACTAAAGCGACATTTATCTAGAGGAAAGAAATCATAATTATTAATAATTAATAATATAATTAAAAGGATGAATTGAAAAAGAATGACATTTACTTTTCTTAATCTCCCACTGGGCAAGAACCTGTAATTAAGGTGAAAATTAAAAATAATGTGTTAATTTACAAGTATATTCATTTATTTATTTTTGAATAATTCTCAATCTTTTGTACGCATTGAGATTTTATTTATTTAAAAATGTTAAAGAAATTTAATTGTGTATCTGTGGCTATGGAATAGTAGAGGGCCTAGGTAATGTCAAATAAATAAGGAAGTTACTGAATTGATGAGCATAGAAGGAATAAGAATGAGAAAAGAGAGATTGTTGAGTGAGTGAGGGTAGTGTTGTAAAAGTGGGATTGCTCATAAAAGGAAGCGGGAACAGGGAATACTGGTAGTAGAGTAGTATCTCTGCCTTGTCTAAGATATAAAATTGTCATTTAGTAGATTCAAATTAGTGCATTCATTGTATCATACACTCTTTTTACGAAACTATGTCTCCACATATCCAGAACCTGTGAATGGCAAAACAGCAACAAAAATAATTTTTTACAAAATTCTACACCTGTTTTTTATTTTATTTTATTAAAATTATATATATATATATATACATATTAAATTTAAAAGAAGATATTATTAAATATTTAAAGGAAAATTTACTAGACATAAAATATAAGTTTAACCAACATAAGATATTGATATTATTCTCAAACTAAAATATTAATACGTTGGGTTACAGATTACACTTTTTTATATGTTGCATTTTACCTAATATGAAACTTCAACTCACACTTAAATTCTCAACCATCTCTACCTCAGTTGTGAATCTTTTTATAGGTACATCACCCCCTCAAACGGAAACATTTTTTTTCTAATCATGAGTACCCAATAGTGATTTTACTTATCGTTGTTCAACTCAGTGAGACTCACTTGCTTGAAATTCTTGTCAGGAAGACTTTGACATACAAACTTGTAAGCTACTTTAATCATACTCAACTGAGTCGGTTACCAGATGAATAATTGACTTTAATACCACTATTAGGTATATTCGAGGGGGACTAACAAAAAGAAGATTATAACAAATGGAATATATGTCAATCATACAAGAGAATATGGGGCATAAGTTAAGTAAGAATGAGAAAGTTGAGCAATATATAGGAAATATGACCTATAAGTCAACTTCTTAATATTTTTAGTTGAGAATTGTGTCAATCTCTTATGTGAGTTGAGTTCATGTATCATTAGTATTGTTTATTATCTGTGAAATTCCCTCAAAATACCCAATAACTGGTATGGAAGTTGACGATTTGTGTCGTAACCAGTAGTTTAAGAATGATATTTATATTGGAAATTTTCTTGATAGTGAATCAGGTAAGTGTATTTTGTTATGATGAATGAGTGTACGTAGAAGGACCACAACACTTGTGAACTTGAGGGGATATACTAATGTAGAGAGACTCGCACTTGAAGATGAGATTGTTAGGTAATCTAAGTGGGAATCTAAATTCCAAATCGACTAAAAATGAGAAAGTTAAACAACATATAAGGAAAAAAAATACATAATCTAATGTCTTAAGATTTTTGGTTAACAGTTATATTAATCTATTATATTGATTGAATGAAAGTATTAACATATTTTTTTGTACGATTCACTCATTATATTGATTGAACTCATATCTCATTGATATTATTTTTCTCCAATACTTTAAGATTTATTAGTTAAAAGTAATAACATATTTTTTTTACGATTGACTCATATCCCATTTATGAGAATATCTAATTAATACTTACATTACATTTAATCTGATTTTGTATTTTTTTCATTAACATAATATTGAAAGTAGTATAATTATTTTATGATTGAGTATAATGTTGAAAGTAGTATAATTTTTGTTATGATTGACTTATATTCCATACGTAAAAATATATAACGAATACTTATATTATATTTAATTTGATTTTGTATTTTTTTTTCACTAACAAAAAAAATATTAAAAAAATTTATGAGAAAGATCATGTATAAACGATCAATGACGCAGTGATGAATATTCATAAAAACTAACACATATATCATATCCACTGATCTACATGATGTTTTTTTTTCTTTATGACTGATAACATAGTTATTATTTTTGTATATTTTTTTATAATTTCTTATGTTAGTAATTGCATTTGATTTTTGTTCTTTTGTTTTACTTTTAAATATCATTTGTTTTTCATTTCCAATTTTTTTCTTTTTTACGTTAAGAATCTTAGATATAAGAAGTTATAATTTTATTTTCATAAATCGGGTTGCGTGACAGAAATTCCTTTATAAATTATTAAGAAGAAAAATAGCAAAATTAATGTTATCCAAAACTTCCAGTACAATTACAATGGTAATTTGAATTGACGTATAGTCTAATAAGTCGTTTCAAAAGATTAGAAAAATAAAATAATTAAATTTAAAAAATTATGATTTAAATATTTAAATAATTTTTAATTAATTACTTTAATATAAATATATTAGTAATATTTGTTTTAATTTTTTAATCAAACTAAAATTAATCTGTTAATTTAAATAAAATATCGTTAAATTGAAAATTTTAATTCATTTTAAAATATAAATTAGACTAAACAATCAATTTTTTTTATCAAACAAAGCCGAGTGGCTTTGACAATGGTTGATGATTCTCACTTCGTCCAATTATTTTTCAAAACCTCATGTCTGTTATGTTATGAATCTCTTTCGTATGATTCAATTTTCTTCTTCTTCTTTTCCTCACGTGCACTTCAATTCCTAACAGTTATTAAACTCAAGTTGCAACCAAATCTCGATTTACGGTGTTAAATCAAGTTAATTTGTAAAGCGAAGGACAGAATCTCAATGGTTCTGTCCGAGGCTATGTCGTCACTTTGAGTACATATAACGAAGAAGTTAGCTGAAACTAAACTATCGGACATGAAAACAGATTCTTATTTAAAAAAATAAAAATGTTGGACCAAACCAATTATTTATCAATTAATTAAATTATCATCTTTTTAAATTTGTATCTAATAATTTAATAGACCTCCATAGGTGTCGGTAGCAATAGCAAGTATAGACAGACACTGCAAAATTTTAAAATTATTTCTGGAGTGTGTACAGAATACGAATAATGGAATAAGCTATTCAACAACTCAGCTCAATTATATTTGAACAAAGGAAATAAAAAATAATTTTTTGTATATAATACTTTATAACATTGTTTTGTCCATTACATTTATTATAATAACCCTGTTTTGATTTACCTTCAACTAATAATAAACCAAAACTTGATGCTAAAACATGTGAAGTCGTCCATGTCAAAACCTGCAACGATGGCGAACGTGTTCGCCACTTCCACTTCATTGGCGCAAATCGTGGGTTCAACTCAAGTGTCACGCATAGTTTTCTTTTCTTTCTACCACAACAAATTAATTATCGGTAAAGACACTAATTAATTAATTTCATTAAATATCTTTAAATGTATACAAAATGAATAATTTATTACTTATGCAAAGAGGCATCAATACTTGATTAATTAATTTGAATGCGATAGCGTAGCTTCTTACCATTTGTCTATGACCTTATTAATTTCAGTCATTAATTGCAATGCATCAGAAAATGCCTAAACTT